GTTAATGAATAAAAAGTACTCATTTTTTTTTTCTACTATTCTTTGTCAATCATGATCACTATATTAAATTCTTTTATAATAAAAAAAAAGACAGAAATGGAAAGCAAAAACACCGGCAAACTTCCGACAATCTCTTTCTTTTTATTGTGTCATTTAAAAAAAGAGTACAATTGAGATTGCTCTTTTGTCAATAGTTTAAATAAATTTTTATTTGTTTACTTATTTTCTCGATTTATATTTTAATGATTCAATCGTCAAAAGAAACAATAACCTAGATTCTACGATCAAAAGAAAAAAAAATCTTGATCGATGTTTAAAACATTGTATATAGCAAGTAAACATTGAATGCATTTATAAATGGAATTTTTTTTCTTTGAATTATTTGATTGAAATTTTTAGAATGCTTCACATAGGATTTATAGAATTGATTTAGTATTTTATTCTTTCTTATTAAAATTTTTCTTCAATCTTCCACTAAGTCATAATAACATACAATCTCAAATGAATCTAGACTACTAGTTTCTTTTGCACATTTATATTCCTGTCTCATTAATAATAGCTTAGATTCACGGTATATAACTATAATTAAAATGAGTACTGAGATATTTGAGTGAAATAATAATTCTCTCTCCTTGCTCGTTCATGAGCTGTGATAAAAGAGAAAAAGAGTGTTTTCAATGCCTGTCATTCATTTTCGCTCTTTAAACAAGCATATACATATTGTTGGTTCAATAAAATATTGCAGATCGAAACCAACATTGTTAAAAACTTGCTACGGAAATTCTTTTGAATAGTTTCACTTAATCACAAAGGAGCTGTATAGATAATCATAGATGTCTCAAAGTTGAGTTTTCCAATAACTTTTGATAGGAGTGAGATAGAGAGCTGCGATTTTCGTCATTTGAAAGAGCGTTGTCCGAATCATCAATCTGTATAGAACTCATTAAGACGAAAGATGTTTTTTTTTTATAGGTGCCTTTGGATACACACTTATTTCTTGGAGTATTCTCATCAATTTTCACAATAATCTCAACTCAAATTATGTCCAAATATAGCTCGAATCGCCGTTTTTTCGTTATAAACTAATCACATACTTCATTATCTCTCAATCTCTTATTCTAAACGGATTTAAAAAACACATGTTAATTTTAGAGCAACAAAAAAGAGCGATTTGAGCTACATTTTGACATAATCTGAGTTGAGATTATTGTCAATGTTCATGATAATACTCCAAAGAAAAAATGTTGACACAAAGGTGCTTATAAAAAAAAACATCTTTCGTCTTAATGAGTTCTATAGGAACCGATGGCTTCGACATCACTCTTTCAAATGGTGAAAATCACAGCTCTCTATCTTATTCGTATCAAAGTTATCCGATAAATGGTAAACTGTCTTTTATTTTGGATTGGATAATAGAATGTATTTAAAAAAACATATTTTCTCTTTTTATTACTCAGTGTATATAAAAGTTCTATTTCAAATTTTTGTTGAGAGAAGTACTCTTTGAAATGTCAGAATGATAGTGATATATATATTAAATACACAAATAATATATTTTCACATCGTATAGCTTAATATTCGAACGATATGTTCATGTGATATTATCTTTTATGCTTTTTAAAGCTTTAGTCGTGTTTTCATCGGCTTAGAAAATAGTTTTATATCAGGTTGAATTTCCACTGCAGAAATAATCGATTATGATGTGAATGTAAATATTCTATATGGGTGTTGGTTGTGGGTGTGTAGGTGTGAATATGGATCGATTTTATCGTTCGCTTTACATAGACATGCGCATGCTAAATCCACTTTCATACTGAAACCAATAATCGTTTGTGAAAAATTCAAATGATACGATTCTATTAAAAGACTGCTTTGAGAAAAAACGTTTAACATTTGCTGATATAGTAGAAACACATGATTTTTTCAGTAACATTTTCAAGATATTAAAATGAATAACGTAAGTAAAGTTAGCAGCAGATTCGAATTTTTTTGAAGAAATATTCATAAAAGCATTTATGCTAAAAGGACGCCGGTAATGCCAAATACAGCATCGAATACGCTATAGAATACATAGCTTTCCAAAAATTTCCATCCTAGGAAACGGTTGAAAAATTCGCGAAACTACTTTTAAAACACTGATTTTATTGATAAAAAACCAATATTTGGGTCTAATATTCGTTGCAAGACATGTGCCAATTGAGAAAGCACTTTGCGTCAGGTAGCATTCGATGAGACCTATCGATTAGTGTTATCTTGACGGATGTTCATCGTTGACAACGCTCTCTAGCAAGAAAATAGTCATTCTAAGAGTTGAGACCGTTGAGAAAACATTTTAGCCAAACAGGGTTCGACGAGATCTATCGATTAGCATGAGATTGGTCCATGTTCATCGTTGAGATCGGTCTCTTGTGGGAAAAATTGTCGTTATACATGTGTTTAGGATACATACCATGGTCTGATATTGTCGTTTGAATGTGTGTCAGTTAAGACAGGATTTACACTTGATAGAGCTCGATGGGAAAGATTGATTCGTCTTCGACCGAGTCATGTTTGTCACAAACATTAGTCTTGACTTGGTAAATAACTAGTAGGATAGGAGATTTTACTTAGATGATGGATATATATGAGGTCTGAAAGTTTTATCAACTAGCGAAACAGTTGTCTCAATGAAAACTCAATGCAATCTATCAAAGAATGTCAAATTGATTCATACTGATTAGCAAGATTTTTGTATGTTTAGCAAGTCGAAGCAGCTTGAAAACTTTTCAATTGTACCAGTGATTGTTTCAGTTCTTATTCGTCGAATAGCTTGTACTCAGCGTCTAGATAATTATCGTAGATGCAATTTTCGTTAAAAGTGCTCAAAGCAACTAGTCAACATTGACAGGCAATAATTGCTTATTGAAGCAATCATAAATTTCGTCAGGTAAACGAACACACGCTAAGTATTACTACTGGAACTCTCACGTTTGTTTTTTGTAATTTTGGTTTACGTGTCCTAGACAACACTCTAGCATTAGGGATTCATGTTCTTTGTTTGTACATGAATATGCATTCAGGTGTATGTGCATGTTTGTCTCCCGTTCTTTGCTGGTCTTCTCTTTCTTTAGTATCTATGGACTCTCCATTTCGTCGTCGTGCGCAGATCTACGTGAACCAATTCATCAGTCCGTCCGAGTGATTGAAATTCTAACCAACTTTCTTGTCTAGTTTTTCTCTTATATTGTGTAGTTAAAATATACTGTCTTTTTCTTCTTCTTATATTTCTACTGTTAGCTTATGTTTTAGCTCTGCTTGTACAGGAAATAAATACTGAAGTTAATTTGAAAATGAATTATCAATTATCTGGCGATATAAGTGAAGAGTAGCCTCTATAGCACTGTTATTAGTGATCTGCTGAACTTTAAAGGTTCCAGAAACGACTACACAATTTCTTCCAATCGGTTCTTTTTTTATTTTTCGAAATTACTGTTTACACCTGTTAGTGAACTTGAAAACTTTCGTTTAATCTTCTGGATTCTTAAGTGAATTTTTTCTCTTGCGGTTCAGATAGATCTCCCTAAGTTCCTATTACGTTTTACGATCTTAATAGAAGATTCTAGTTTCTGACAAACGGTATTCCTACCGATTTCATGCTTGAGCTCAGCCGCGCATGCATCAAGTTCCCTTTTTGATTGGCTGCAGAGTCTGCTACTTCAAGTTTTAGTTTACTCAACTTCAATTATCATTAGGAGACAACTCAAAACTTACTCATGCAACCAACTCGTTCGAAAAGACTCAAAAAAATAAGTGTGCTAATGAGAAAATGATTTGCAAGTGGAAAAGATCTAATAATCGTAATGCGGCTGAAAAATCTTCATGTACAGGCTTTTCCCAGCTCATCATAGGATTGAAAATGATATCGGTCGAAAGATCTCATTGAGTTCTATCTGAAAAACATCTGTTTCCTTAGTTAATACATTTGAGACGATAATTCTTTTTACTATAATATGAACCCAAAAACTCATTCTACCAGTCTTTGCACCACCTCAGCAGGATCTTCATGATGAACATGATGCTACATATTTAATATCAATTTGCAGTATTATTTGAAACTTTAGATTTATCAAATATCTTAATACACAATAGAACGGTATAGATTGTACACAAGTTTGAATGAATATATCTCTTGATGTCTTTTTCTGATCGATGCGTATCATTTTATGTTTTGCCAAACAAATGAACTTCTCAACATATTTTTTTCATACAAAGTTTGCATGCGTTACGTAAGACTTAATTTTTTCTTGTTATATAGTTTATTTATATTCAATCTTCTAGTTGCTCAGCGACAAAATAAAGAAAAAAGTAAAAGATCATACATAAGACATTTCAAATCAAGAACTTGAAAAGCAAATAAAGAACAATAAAAGACTTGAACATGTGTTTCTTGGTGACAAGTTCAAAAACAAAAAAAATAAAACAAAAAAATTTGTTGCCATTATTCAATATGCTATTTTCTGTTTACATTTGTGTAAAACTTTGAGCATACAAGTTCTAGATCAAATATTATTCAAAATATGCTGAAGAAAAGCTTCATAAGAAATTCGAATATTATTCTTATATCCATCTAAATCATTCCATGTATGGCAAGTTAATTCGCAAGATGTCACTCATAACATATGTATATCTTGACATGTACAAAGTTATGGTCTTTAGAATGAACCAATGAACCAAAGGCAATAGACTCAACGCTTATACATTAATTATAAGCCAATCAGATACAAAATCCATATTTTACAACGATGATAGCCTCTATTCAACTTTCTTTTGATTGTTATTCAATTTTAAGACGATGATTAGTTTTACCAGGGAATAATGTTTATCATACTTGTGAAAACAAAGAATTTTCATTGTATAAGTAGACTTTTGAAAAAATTACTATTGTGATGTGTATGACATATTTTTTTGTTTTGAGATAAAAGTTTCTTCAAATTATAAGAAAAAAAAAAACAAAAAATAAGATGAGCCAAATTCGAAATCGAAGTCAAGGTGGAGCAGCTGGTTCAAGATCACGTTCAAAAACTAGATCAAAATCACGTTCATTATCATCAACATCATCGTATCAAATTGTTCGTTGTTTTGTTCTTCAATGAATTTTTTTCTTTAAATAGTGGTCGTGCAGCTCAAGCACCAAAATGGGATGGTGAATCAGGTTATCGTTTACATATATCACCATTGAATCCACGTACATCTCGACGTGATATTGAAAAAATATTTTCAAAATTTGGTACAATAAATGAAGTATATTTATTAAAACAATAAATAACAGAATAGAATTTTATTATTTTAAATTCTTTAGGTTTGGATGGCAACAAATCCTCCTTGTTTTGCATTTGTAAATTTTAAACATCGTGCTGATGCTGAAGATGCTATTCAATCATTTGATGGAAAGTAAGTTTATTTTAATTTTATCTTGTATTTTCAAAAACAAAGATAATTTCATATAGAATGATTGATAATTCACGTGTTGGTATATCATTTGCTCGTAAACGTACTATTGGTGGTCGTCGAGGTGGTTCATATAATAATGGTGCTGGTGATCGTTATTCTCGTAGTGGAGATTATGATTCATCTAGAAAACGTCGTCGATATTCACCACGACAAGATGATAGGTATATAAATTTTGTTTTTGTAAATAGATTTTATATATATTTTGAATTAAAATAGAAGTTATGATCGACGACGACGATATTCTCGATCACGAAGTCCAGTGCAATATAATAAACGTGATAATCGTCCAAGATCAAGATCAAAATCATCATCACCAAAGTAAAAATAGAAAAATTTATTATTATATTTAAAATTTGAATATTTATTTCTAAAGAACACGTCGTAATCGACCATTATCAAAAGATCGATCACCTCAACAACAAGCAGTTAATGTAGTTCACCGGTAAAAAATAATTTAAATTTTATTTTCTAATTTAATTCAATATTGTTGTTTTTTTTTTCTTTTCTTTTAAGATATGCAGAAAGTGACGATCGATCTGATTAAATTCAATTTTGTTTCTTTTGAAATGTGTATACAGGACTAATCAATTTCATCATGTCCCTTTTTTTTTGTTTACTCTTATTAAAAAAACAAAAAAAGAAATTTTTTTCTTTGCTTATTCTTGTGTATTGTATCAAGTTTGACTAGTCTCTGTTGATTACTCTAGATTAATTATTTGATTTATTTTTTTCTTTCTTACAAAAAAATAAAAAATTAATGGGTCGTAGTCGAGATCGTTCATATTCAAGATCACCTTCACGTTCACGTTCAGGATCACTTTCATCAACAAGTTCAGGTCGAGCTGCGAAAGCACGAAATTGGGTATGTATGTTTGTTTGTTTGTTTGTTTTTTGATTCTGAATAAAATAAACAATTATATGATTTTCTTTTAGAATGGTGAAGGTGGTTATCGTTTACATTTATCTGATTTAGCAATAGGTGTAAGTCGACGTCAAATAGAAAAACTTTTTCGACCTTATGGACCATTAAATGAAGTTTGGGTTGCATCAAATCCACCATGTTTTGCATTTATTAATTTTCGTCATCGAGCTGATGGTGAACGTGCATTAAAAGAACTTGATGGAAAGTAAATATGATATAGTTTTATATTTAATTTATCTATTAAACGTGTTTAAGACAATCGATCGTAATGTTACAATATAAAATCAATCAAAAAGAAAACAAAAATGTTTCCTTAGCATTATGAAGAAAAAATTCAGAAAAATCTCTAACAATTTATTCAAGAACAAAAAAAAAATTAAATATGAGTATAAGGATGAATGTTTAATGATCTCTTATAATTGAGCATGAAGTCTTTCATTTTTCTTTATTAAGTCAAAATATAAATCTCAACATTCAATTACTGTTTATCAGCAAACTTATGTCTAAACGGCGTTGTAAATGATTGCAACACGTGTCTAAAAATTGAGATGTGTGGGAAGTAGAGTCAACCCGTTGAATTCCGATCTGAAGTTTCTCTGTTAAGGACCGAAAGTTTTGAACTCGATCGATTTTAGTGAAAAGTAAAATAGGAATGACTTTTCCTTCAAACATGCAACCAATTATCACTTTCTTGTATGGAATATAATTATTTTTTTTTGTAAATAGAGTTGTTGGTGGTTCAAGAATTGGTTTAAGTTGGGCTCGTCCAAGAAATTATGGTGGACGACCACTTCATGCATTACTCTATCGTAAATTGGATAGATTTGTTGACTTGAAAAAAAATATATTCTTTTGTTCTCTTTTTTCTAGGTTCACCATCACCTTCACGTCGCCGTAGTTATCGAGACTCATATAGTAGTCGTCGTGGTAATGATCGATATAGTAAACGTCATTATTCAAGGTAATTTAGTTATAAAGAAAAAAGAAAAATTAGAAATCTATTTAAAATATGAAATTGGTTCTTTTCTTTATTATGATTAAAATTTAATGAAAGAGAATTCCACAATATATATATACACATAGTGCTCGATATGTTTTATATTCTCTCGATATGTAATTTGATTATATTTCTAGCTGTTGATGATGAATGGTTGAAATGAATGATTTGGTTGGAGCCACATTAGCAGCAGCAGTATTAAGAAAATGAAATCATTTGGCTTTTGTGCTCGAATCTTGTTTTCTTTGTGTATACTTCTCTTTGTATTCTATTTGTGTGCACCTGTATATTCCTTACCTATTGGATGGATCGATCATATTTACTTAGTCGTACTCTTTGGCAGAGAAACAGTAAAGATAAAGGTATGTTATTAGGGCACATACATTTGATTAAAAATGTCGATAAAGGTGAACGAATGAATTTCCCGTGCTGAATATGTATTTTTTTTTTTTGTTGGAGTAAAAAAAAAGAAAAATGTTTAAGAAAATACTTTTTAATAGATTATTATTCTTCTTTTCTTTTTGTTTGTTTGTTTTTTTTTTTTTTATAGAAGTCGATCGCGTAGTCCAGGTTATCGACGATCAGGTGGTAATTATCAACGACAAAGTTCAAGTTCTCAATCAAGATCAAAATCACGAACACGATCACCATCACCTAGAGGTAGATTTATATTATAATTAAATCATTTAATATAAAATAATATTTTTGTAAAAAGATACTCGTCGCGAAAAACGTCCAAAAACATCGAAACGAGAAGATGAACGTCGTCATCGTTCGGAATCAAAATCATATTCAGAGAGTGATGATCATAGTTCACCATATCAAAAGAATGGGTAAAAGATTTTTCAAATTCTTTTTTTTTGTTTTTGTTTTCTTTGAGTGTATGATTTATTTTCCGTTTGTTATTGAGAAACGTTCATCAATAATATGAGATGATATAAGAACTTTAACTTCAAAATATCATGAAAATAAAATCATAATAGATGAATGCTTAATGACGTTATGATGAAGCTCCTATTCATATTCCAGCATTTTTAAAGAGTTACTGAATTGAGATGTTTGCATTGTTTATTTAAAAAAAAAACTCATCTCTCTTTATTCATATATCTATTGAAATGTTTTTGTTTTGACAAAACATTTATTGTCACTATGACTACTCATATCTTTTCATCTAAATAATCAACGAAAAGTAAATAATGTAAATCAGTTTTATTGAAAAATACAAAACTATTTTAGAAAACGAAGTTCACATAGTCCAAGTAGTGAACGTCACCAAGCAACATCATCAAACGGTTTGAATCATATTGATACAGACAATCATCATGATGAGTATGTAATAAAAAACAAAAAAACAGAAGTTTTGATTATCATTTTTACTTTTTTGTTTTTGTTCTTTTTCTTTAGTATTCAAGTGGACGGACAAGATTAATCATATAAGCCGGTGTTATTCAATCAAAATGAAAGACTTTATGTTTTCGATTATTGTTTGCTGTAGTCATTTCGTTTCGAATGTTTTCTTTGTGCCTGAATTACGTATGACTTAATTTTGTTTTGTGTGTTTCACCGTTCATACAAGAAAACGTGTATTTGTTGTTATTATTAAGAAAAAAAAAAAACAATATATTGAAAAGAGATATATGAAAAAAAAGAAAGGAATTCATTATTTAACAACATACAAGAAAATATCTTTGTTAATATTTGAGAATGCAAAAATAATAGATGAGAAGGATGATTTTGATTAAATATATTCTTGATGAATTAGAGATAGAGTATTTTCAATTTTGATAACGATTTATAATGCATTGATTATTTATTCGATGAAAGAAACAAAAAAATAACTGATTTAAGAATGAAATAAGATAAACTAATCCCGTTATCAGAGGTTGATCTTTATATAAGATTTTTTGTGGTTATATCACAAAGATAAACATATCTAATTGATTTAAAAGAAGGTTTTCTATTCAGTGGTGTACTAAGTAAGGATCTCCAGTGAAGTTTATGTGTTTTATCTTTTAGTTTTTTTTGGTTAACTAATTTTCAAAAGACCACTAGACTCCTTCCCAATCCTGATAAACTCGATACATTCTCGTTTGTATCAACAAATATTTGTATTGAAACGATTTATAAAATATAATTTTTTTCTAAATGTTGAAACTTACAAGAATAAAATGGAACTCTCTTGTTTGCACTTATTCACTAAACATGATAAATAATTACTACTTCAATAATATATATTAGAAAACTTAGTCTTCTTCCTTGACAACCTGTAACATATTATGATAAAGACTTTTCCTCTCACGACACGTAGTAAATGTCAATATGAAAGCACTATCATGAAAGTCTTTTTATTTATGACAAATTTAACTCTTTATTGCTGTAAGATATGAACGACATGCTATAATTATTTATCGCGAAAAGATGAATGGTAAGATAATAAATTCAATTCTATCGAAAAGCAAAAAAATAGTTGTATAAATCTTCACTCAATAAAAAAAAAACAATACAAAAATATCTGCATTATTAGACTTAATCTTTTGAAGAGTTTGAATGATGGCGCTAGTTAATATATGATATTTAATCTTAACTTCTGTCTATAGAGACCAAACCATGGAAAAAGAAAAAGCAAATGGTTACTTAAGAGAGAAAAGAAATTCTTTTATTACAAAACAAACCAATATTATGATGTTGATTACTTTTTTGTTCTTTTCTTCGAAGTAAAATAATACTGAATTGACTGTAAAAGAAGAAAAAAAAAAGAACAACGTTTATAATATGGAGTATGTATCGTTCGGAAAGGTAACAACAGTAAGCCAAAAAAAGAAAGAAGAAGAAGAAGAAAAAAAAACTGACAAAAAGTTTGGCTTTGTTAAACGAGCGACGACGACAACAATAAAAAAAAAAGAAACTGAAACGAAGAGGTGGTCGAGAAAGTGTAAGAGTGAGCTCTTCCATTTCTTTTACTAACTCTCCGATGTCGTTGTTTGTTCCATTTGGTCTGCATCATTAGAAACCTTATTGAAAGAAATTACTTCTATTTCAAGAATCGACGCGCGCCTGCACACAGCAGTGAATGATTTTTATATAGTTATGTATGTGCGTGTTTGCTCGGATAGTAATGATAAAATAGAGCAGACAAAATAATAATAATAAAAAAAACTAAATTACTGACAAGAGAAAAAGCAAAACTGGTATGTACATCATATATTCGATGAAATATTCAACTGAATTGAAGTCTCATTATTCATTTTATTATTTTCATTGAATGAATAAAGAAGAAAACAAACAAATAAATCAATTATTGATTTAATTTTCTAATTTCAGATGGCTGATATACTTTCACTTGAACAGTTAGTTCATCTTTCCTTAGGTGATCCTGAGGCAGGTGCTGTAAATTTCAATGTTTTAAAAACTCTTCTTTTACAAATGCTTAAAGCAATGAATTTATTTAATTATAAACCAACTATGTCTGATCATGATGAACGTACAATTAAAGAAGCTTTATTAGCATCATCATCAACAACAACAAAACCAACAAAACTTCATATTAAATTTGATCATGATGAATCAATAAGTCCAGTTGATGAAAGTGATGATTTAAATAATGAAGTTAAAAAAAAATTACGACGAAAAACTCGTGATCGAAGTTCAGATCGTCTTAATGCATTAGAAGAAAAAGTAACTCGTTTTGAATCCCAATTAAATGCTCTTAATCAAATACCATCAAATTCTGAATTAATTGATCGAGCTAAACAAATATCAAGAAATAAAATTGATGATACTAATTCTTTAAAAACAACAAGTCATCATGGACCTATACTTGAAATTTGGCAATATACACAAATGGAAAAACGTCTTGAATCAGCTGAAAATGGCATAACACGAGTATAATTTTTTTTAAAATAATACTATTATTATGTAAAATATTTGATTTTATTTTGCATTTAGCTTGCTTCATTACTTCAAGATCTTATATCGGATATGAATGATTTAAAAGAATCTCATGAAACAATAAAACAAACAACAGATGAACTTAAAAAACAACAAGATGATTTAAGAAAAATTATTGATACATTAAATAATGAAAAAAATGATTGGGTAATTATATTTTATTCATTTTCTCGTTTTTTTGTATTTTTTTTTCTTTTAGGCTAGAAAATCTGATATTGAAAATTTAGATGAAAAAATTCGTAATTTACAAAATTTACTTGTAAGTTTTCCTTTTTTTTTTTTTTTTTTAATTTTTATGTAAAAGTCTATGTACATTTGTTTGATTAATAGACATCATTACGAGATCGTCTTGATGAATTATCAAAAACAAATAATAATCTTGTATCCATGCCTGATTTAACAGGTTTTGTTACATGGGATCGGTTAGAAGATGCACTTAAAGGTATTCGAGAATCACTAGAAAGGTCTTCAAACGATGCAGCAGCTGCCTTGGCTTCAGCACGAGACAATCGACGTCCGATACAAGTTGTTGAGCGTCAAAGTCAAACAGTATGTAATCAATTATTCTATTTAAATTTGAATTAAATTTATTTTATTTTTTTCATAGTCAGCTAAGCGAAAGGTAAGAAAACAATAAATTGAATTAGTTTATCATATATGTGTTTGTTTCTTTTTTTGTTTTTTTCTTTAATATTATATAGGATACATCGGGAGGAGGACGACAATCACCATCCAGTGAAAGTATTAGTGTACCATCAGATAATCTTGCAGAACTTTTAGAACAATTAGGAACATTAAATCATCGACATGAACAATTAAAAGCTTTAGTTGAAGCACTTGAAGTAAATAGATATTTACAAAAAACCAAAAAAATAAAGATATACTTTTATGTTTTTAATGGAATTTATATTCTTTTTGTTTTTCTAGCGTAAAAAACTTAATCGTGATGAGTTTGATACATTTAAAAATCAATTTAACAATTTATTTGATCGTCTTGCTGCACTTGAACGTGATTTTGATGATATTTCATCAAAACGAACAGCTGTAAGCGTATTCTATTTGAACATAAAATCCATGTTTTTTTTTTTGCTTTTCGATTTATAAGTATTTGTGCTTTTGCCGTACATAGGATTCTATGAAAATACTTGAATGATATTTTTGTTTCTCTGTTTTTTTTATTCAAGTAATCGATTCCATTTAGGAATTTAAATTATTATTCCGCCGAGAAAAAATAATATTGTTTTTTTTTCATATATAAGAAGAGAAATGAAAAAAAAACCACAATCACTTGTTTTTTTTTTGTTACATCTAGTTTAAAAAGAAAAAAAAACAAAATTTAAAATATAATAAATCAAATCGAGTGAATATCATATCGTGAAATCACAGCATAATACGAATTAAATCTGACAACGAATCATGCTGGTCTTCACGATAAGATTATACACCTTTATGATAGTGTGTGTACGTGCCTATGATGATCTAGTAGAAACAAAAAAGTGAATGTGACTTGTATAAAATGAAGGGAGAGAAAAAAAATGAGCACACAATATTAGCATGTTAAGCGAGAAAAAGAGAAAGATAGCATACCAATCATGAAGAAAACAGCTTTATCACCATAGTCGTCATTTGGGCTAGTTGAACCAATAATAAATATGACGACAACCCTAGATAAGAAAGGTACACCAGATGGTCTTACATTTCTTAGTTAATGTCAAACATTGACACTTGAGAAATAAATACCCGTTGTATTTCCTGCAACATGAGCATTACATTGTGCTATTATCAATCGACATGTTTCATATTTGCGCTATATTTTTTATCTAAATATATACGTTTGACTAGTCTAAAATGCTCTTCAGGCAAATGCTGTAAAGTTTTTTATTAAACAGGAAAAAAAAAGAAGAAGAGAAAAAGAAAAAGAAAAAAAGAGAAAAATTTGCACAACAAACTCGATCAATCAATTTTATTCTTATTAATTAAATAATTTAATGAAAATTAATAATCATTCATAATTTTTCTTATATAGCAGACGTCTAGTCCTCTACCTGTTCGAGAAGTAATCAGAGAAGTTCCTTCACAGGTATTTTATATTTTAAAATATATTTTCATAGTCAAATGAACAAATGATATTTACTATAGCATCGTGCAGATTATTCCGGTGATATATCAGATTTTCGAACAGCATTACAACGATTACGTGAAGATCTTGATCGACTTAAACAACTTGTTCAAGATGTAATAAATAAAGGAAATTTATCTGCTCAAGAAATTGATGTAAGTTTTATATATATATATATATGATTGATGATGTTCGATTAATTATTAATTCATTATTAGGCATTGAAAAAATTAATTGAACAATTAGATCAAACAAAAGCTGATAAAACTACTGTTAATAATGAACTTGATAAAGTAGGAATTCACAAAAAAAAAAAAAGTTTTTTCAAAAATTTTTATTTGTTTTAATTTTAGAAAGCTGATAAACGAGATATTGATAGTCGTGTTTTGAAAAAAGATTTCAATTCTGCTTGTAATGAATTATCACAAAATTTAAATGATTATATGCAAAAATTTAATGTTCATGTATATTTTCAAACTATCTTTTTTTTTTATTTTTTTATCAAAAAACAGAACAATAATTATAAAACAACTTTTTATTCTTGTAGGATGATACACAACGACAAGATTTAGAAAAAATCAATCATGATATTGATGGAAAACTCGATCGAACAGAACTTGATGCTTTACGTGATTATATAGATAAACAATTGAAAAAATTAAAGAAATTGGCGGTAAGTTTTGCACATGAAGTTTTTTGCATTATTGTCATCAAATGAAATTCCCTACTCACATAACTAAGTTACATATGTTTGTTATTATGTTTATTCCCTTTTGTTTTATTGTTGTCTGTGTTTGTTTTATATTTCGTGATAATCAAGAAAGAGCAGCAGACTCAACCACATGTACATGTTATGTCCGAAGATGAGGCAGCCGGTTTACGAAAACAACTCATTCGTTTTCATTGCATCAGTTGTGATCGTCCTATCGATGTTCAACCGCATCCGTTCGTGTCGTTTGTTATGATTTGATTTCTTTTCAAAATTTAATTATAGTTGTTTTCTAAAACAAAAAACAAAAAAAAAAGTTTTTTTTGTTTATTATTATTTCTAGACAGCAACCCAGTCTTCCCGCAAATCAGGGTATGCGTCCCATCCAGTCACCCCGACCATACACAACTTACGAACTGGACCAAATTCGCCAATTTCAAAAGAGGTTATTTTATTATTGAAAATTATGAATTATGATATAAATGATTTCTATTTGAAAAATTTTAGTCAGCAGTTTAGTAATGATTTTAGCGGCGGTGTAGCAGATGTATATGCAACTGTTCGACAGTGTGGTGGTTCACACACAATGACACTACCATTTAAACGACAAATAAAAATACAGTAAAAATTTAATTTTAAAAAATTCTATTAAAATATTTTTTTTTTCTTTTTCATTTTTTATTTCAAGACCTACAGTACCGGAAGATACACTACTTTCGAGGTAAATTTTACAAAAAAAGAAAAAAATAATGAATTTTTATCATAATGATTTCTTTTTTTTAATATAGAAGTGAAGTTGATATAAAAGGACATGATGGTGTTATTTACAAAGGTAGAATTGATGTGAGTAATTTACCAACTGTCGATATGCAGAAAAAAAATTCGGTTGTTTTACTTGCTCCTCCACCGCCGCAAAGAACACGATCGGATTCACATCCGAAGTCTGCTCCTCATCAGATTCATAGTGGATCATTTGTTAATAACGATCAAGAAGCAAATGGTATATCACCGATTATTCCTAATCTTGAACCAGCTTTACCTCGAGAAGAAAATTTCACTTGAATACATATGAAATAAATCATTTAATAAATATTTTATGTTTTTTTCATTTGAACTACGCACAAGAAAAATAAAACATTTCTTGTTCATAGATAATTTACATTTGACTTCTTGTTCGCTTTCTTTTTTTTTTTGTTCTTTGTCCATTGATCGTCGTATCGGTGGTTGTTTTTTTTCTTTTTTTTGTTTTTTTTTTTCATATATATGCAATCTTTCGTTTGCTTGTCATACATTTCTTATTTTCGCTTATAATATTTTTTCTCTTGTTCTTTTTTTTAAACGATTATTCTAATATTGTCTATTGTCGTTTTATTCATACTTGTATTTATGTGATCATGAATCAGTTCTTCTTCTTTTTTTCAATAATGATTAAATTTTATTTACAAATAGGTTTTCATATTGAAGATTTTAATCCAATTTTATTGATACATTTTATTGAGTAGTATTTAATGAAAAAAAAAACAAATAGAACTTCATACTAGAAAAAGTTAATGTAATAAGAGAAATGAGAATCTAAATTCAATAGTTCATAAGATAATGTCGACAAAATATTAATATAATTTCTTTTATCAATTTAATTAAAACATCCATCTAATGATCAACAACTTTTCTCAAATTGTTTCATTAACCCTTTACCCCCCATGGAGGTTCCAGAAGACCCACTGATAAAATAACTTTATTAATACAGTACTACCCTCGCTAGTATGCGAATGGCATAATCTGATCCATCGAATGTTCTGCTCCAAGAGTAGGACGATTTGATTTATCCAGAAATCATGGGGTAGGGAAAGAAAATTGAACTACACTGTAAGAGTTGATTTTTATTCTTTGACCACAATATTGAGTGGACAGAAGGAACATCTATCTCGCGCTATTAGAATAATGGAAAAAAGACGAGAAATAAACCTATAAAAATGAACACCAAAGAATACATGCGTTTTTTAGATGTTTTTTCAAATTAAAGCCAATTTTATTCTTGGCCATTTAATAACCTCTCATCAAATTGAATTCATCATAAATAGAGTTTCGACTTCTCATGAGTCAAGGTATCTAATATATGTATTAACTGTGCTCTTGATTTCGCCCCATAGGTCAATTGGTGGCTACATGGTCAATCATATTTCTTTGTATGTCATATTCGCTGAGTTATCACTAAAATTTTGAAATATATTTTATTTATCAAAGAACTTCTTCATCAATTAATATCACATAGAAATTCCATGAGATCTCTATTGGCTGCGAGTAGAAAGTATTTTACTTAAAAAATTTCAATTTTTTTCATTTTTTCAAAATTTTCGATTTTTTAGACCCTTTATTTCAAAGACGGAGCAATCAAAAGGAACAGTCTTTCTACCAATGGATAGCCCATGAAGTTTACTACAAAAAAGGTGCTTAGCGTTTTTTAACCCGATGCTCCCTTTCTTTTCTGCAGTCGCTCTACAAATGGTCACTCCAGTGACCAAGGGGGGGTAAAGGGTTAAATCATGAATTCCTTGATTTCATGGAGACTTATTCATATTGTTGTTAAATTGTTTTATTATAGCCGTGTTAAGGATGTAATCTTTCTTTAATTTATCAATTACTATACATAAGTTCGGACTGAATATCTACACTTGTACTCACCTAATGAAGATTTATACAACGATAGATTCTCTTGTTCATCAATATTAATAGTGACAACTTTAAAAGGCTAAGGAAATTAATAGTTTCTAGAGCGTGTCCGGTGTGAATCTGAAAATTTTGAACCCAACGAACTCTTATAGAATTTTCATCAACATCGCTCTTTCTGGATGCAGCAATATCTTCATTTAACTAAATCTAAGATTCAATATGGAATATTGAATATTTATTTCGACAATATTTTATGAATATAGATAAAAACCGAAACAATAAACTATAAATCTCGTTTCTTCTAAGTAGTTCTATAATTATCATTTGACGATACGTATATCTGGTACTATATCATCTTGGTTTTGACTAGTCAAATTATGTGAATTATCATAATTAAATGTAGATAAAAGTGAATATTGTTGTTCAATAGTTGATCGTGATAATAAACTATGATTATTTTCATTATTATAATGTATTTCTTTTTTATTAATAACACGAATTAATTGATTAACAGAACGCCATTCTTTAATGATTTGAATATGATAACGAAAACTAACCTTAAAAAGAATTTTATTTTAATTAAAAGATACAAAAAAAAGAAATTCTAAATTTTTACCCAACACCAAACAATATAAATAAAAAATACTGAAAATGGTAAAATAAAATATGATAAACCATCAAAAAATATTTTTGTTATTTGAATTTTTGATATACTCATAATAATTAACCTAAAAGACTAATAAAAAAATAAAATCTTTTGTTTAAGAAAAAAAAAAAAAAAAAAGCAACAACAACTCAAATGACATACCAACTAATAATTGTTGTTAAAAAAATAAATAAAATTATATCATTTATTAAATAACGAATATCTGATGGATGTAATGGATTTCTTAAAAACTATTTACAAAACATTAAATTTTTTCATTTATTTTAATATTAATTCTAATACATACATAAAATAATGATTTTGGATATCGTATAACTTCATATTCATGTTGACATATTTCACATTTAGTTGTATTAGATATTTCAAGCCATCGTTCAAGACAATTTTGATGAAGTATACCCATTGTTCCTGAGCATTGACATGGAGCTATTAAGGATTGAAGATCTCCTGTTGAATAACAAATTCGACAAACTTGAAGATTTCCTATTCTAAAATTTAACATTTATTTCTCGTTTTTTATTTTTATTTCATATATACTCATTTTTATCTTGTTCATTTAATGAATTTTCTTCATTATTTATAATTGGTATTGAAGAAAATTCTCCATTATTATCTAATGGTAATGATTCGGTTATAAGTGAAACAAGTTCACTTCGTGTTTTCGTATTTTCATTTGATGGATAATATTTAGATGAAAAGATTTTAAATATCATTATGAATTTTTCTCGATTTCGATATAAACAAAAACGAGATATGAATATCTAGATTTGTATATATAATCAAACGAAATTACCATCACAACTAATATAATTATTTTAATAAACATAAAATATGTCTCATGTTTATTATCAATCATATCATATAATTGAAAATATCTTTAATCTATGTTGATTTTTTTGAATGTCAAATAAATATTTATTTCATATATTCCTTTTGATCTATTTATTCTATTGGTGAATATTAATATTTCAAACCAATAAGAATAGTTAGATAATGATCAAAATCGACCATCTGTTAGCTATTCTGAATTAAAATACAAAAAAAAAAAACTTCAAATAAGAAAGATAAAGTCACAGTATGCTTGTCAATCTGTCGAAAATATCTGATTTACAAAAGAGAAGAAGAAACGAAAAAAAAAAAAAAAAACTATCAATCAATTCATATATACCTTTTGACAAATTAGTTTATGTTTATTTTTCGATTTGTTCTATTCACAGTTTCATAATAATCAAAGTAAATAATTCAATAAATAACAAATGAACATTATTCAGAAGATAAACAAATTAAAAAAAAAAGAAACGAAGATTCCACTATGTATTCTATCTTGACTTATCTAATCATGTTTTCTACCTGTATAATTTTTCTATTTTCATGCTTGTACAAAGATAACCAAGAAAAACAGGCAAACTTACGACACAAAACAAACTTGTTTCTGTCACTTATCAATATGTAGGATTTTGAGAAAGGTGATCATTGGCACAAAACGCATTTTGAAGTTCATTAAATGTCATATCGGCACTCATCTTTAGGCGTTTTCTGATTTCGGAAGGAGAGAAGCGGTCGCTGCCAATCCACCACTGCTTATCAATATACAAACAGGTAATTTCAATGAGATCTTTTAGTGCATATTATTGCAAAGAATATGTTTTCAAGTCACAATTCAAAATAGATTAAACAAATCTTCTTTCAACTTTAAATGATCTACATAGATAAACAGATATTGACATATACAATTATCAATCACTTTTATTTTTATTTCAATCGAAAGGACATTAAAAGATTTCGTACAAGTGATAACACAGAAAAACGTTATTAAGGAAGTATACTATAAAAAAAAATCATCTATTCATTGATTCATATTTCCGTCGTTTGATGCAATCGCAACGTAGATCAATATCTTTTCACACTATATGAACGCGTGTATGAGTAGCACTTGGAAGTGATCAGTCGGTTAAATCAACAGAGTACTAGAAGAAGATGATGATGATGATGTACAGACATAAACAACAGTTGTCGTTTGACACATTGTCTATATATCACTCAAATACATGATTAGACAAGATTGAAACATAGGTGTAAGGAATCTTAAAAAGAAAAAGACAAGCTGTCACCAAGGCAAACATAAATGTTCAAATACTTGATCTATCATTTTTTGTGATCTATTCCGAGATGGAGAGAATAACTATCAAAATGCATCATCTCACATGCGACAGTTAATAAAAACAAAAAAAAACAAGCGGTAACAGTTGGATCAAGTTAGTCATATATATATATATACATGTACATCTACTCAATGTTTCTTTCATTTAGAGAATATGCTCATGCAAAGAATAACAGTAAGTAAACAATAATAGATTTTCCTTTTTTTTTTTTTAAACCAAGTAAATTAATAAAACATTTTAACACTAGTTTGATTTATATATGTATATATATAATTCTTCATTTCCGTCTAAAGCTTTTCTCGAAAGGCGTAGCTTTTCTTTTTCTAGTTATCACAATTAGCATTGCATGTATAAAATTCAGATTCGTTTTTTCTTTTTCTTCTTCTTGTGTGTGTGTGTGTGTTCGTTTCCTCACTCTCGACATGAATCAATCATTCAAGGGGGAGTATAATACTGTGTTAATGATACGTTGGACATTTGAGAGAGAGAGAGAGAGAGAGGGAGAAACAAAAAAAAATGAGACAGCACAGCATTACTAATGAGAGAACGGGAGAAAAATCTAACGTTCGAACGGAAGCATCGGTCATTCGTTAAATGTTCTTTACTTGAAAATGAATTTGATATTTTTTAATATATATTTTAGGCAATGAAATTACGTTCACATGAAATTCTTTCAAATCATATAAATAAAAAATCTATATCAACAAAAAAATCATCATGTTTAAAAAAATTATTTCATGGAAAAAATTTTTTTAAAAAGAAAAAAATTTCATCAACAATAACAACAACATCATCACATGAATCTGGTAATCTTCTACATGATATTCCTGATTATGTTCGAAAAAGTATTCTTCGTTATTTGCTCGAGGTATAAATTTTATATTAATTAGAAATTTCATGTTATTTTTCTTATTCTCATGAGTACTTGTCAAAAGTCTTGCTTCGATGACAATTAATGTTGATACGACTGATTAGGAGATGCTATATAGACTATCCCTGCTGAGCTTTTTCTTTTTTCGTTGTATAAAATAACAAGTTGTGTCAATTAAACATCAGTTCATTCTTTTTATTTTTCGAAAATATGAAAGTACTCGAATCACTATTACAATGTTTTATTTTACTTGTAAGTTATTTAAAACATTTCCGTTTTTTTTTTTTTCTTAAATCTAGTCTCCTCCTCCTCATTCTTCTTCTTCTTCTCCGTTAATTATTCAGCAAAATTCACCATCACGAAATATTCGACCACCATTAATGGGTATTCAAGCATTGAAAAATAAAAAACAACATCATCGTCATCAGACAAAACGTCCATTACGAACAAGGTAAATATTTCAATTTTCATATTTTTTTTTTTGTATTACCTGAGGCATATATCGAACTGATCATTCGTTTTTTTTTTTTTTTTCTTTCGTTAAGACCTCAACCTATTATTGATAATAATAAATCGTTAGAGGATTATCAAACACAAAATAATTATGATATGACTATTTTACATATGAATATTGATGATGATAATGATGATAATTCAATATTTGCTACGAAAACAAGTACATATCAGAAAAAACCTATTCCACAATGGGCAAGAAGTATGTATTAACATGAATTAAACAAATTGATAGTTTTTTTTTTTTTAAATATATTTCTTTTTTAGAAAATGAATTACAAATAGCTATGTGTAATCAAATTTATTTTCATCGTAATCCAAGTGAAATATTTGGTAATACAATTGATTGTTCACCAGCACATTTACGTACAATACTTCATTCAATGTTACCTAATGTACAATTAATAGATGATGATCTACAACAAACAACATCAATACCTATGAATAGTAATAAATCAATATTGGTCTGAAAACTTATGCTTGTTTTTTTGTTTTCAGTTTTGTTAAATGAGAGAATGATTATTGTGTAAATAAATTAAAGAACAAAAGAAAAAGAAAGATGACAGTTTTATCTTGATAGAACACTGTCAATAATTTATATAAATGTCTTATGGCTTTTTTATTTTTTTGATTTGATTTAATTCACACATTATTGTTATAATTGTTGTCGGTAGCGGCAAATGAAAAAAAAAGAGCTTGAATAGATCTTTATAAAAAAACGAAACAATTTTCTCAATATTAAATTGTAAGACAATAAGTTACCAATCAACTGTACAATCTATTATGAAAATTTTAATTGTGTGAATAAATAGCAGACAGAATCTAATGCTTGATCAGCCTTTTGGCAGTAATGGCATGCATCAATGAAGTTTGACCACTCCATTACAGTTAAGCTTGATTGATCTATTGTTGTTTAATTTTGTTTTTTTGTTTCATTTCAATGATGATGATGATCTCCATATTTAAGTTGAATGAGATGAAAAAAAAAGAAAAATCGTTTTTAATCGAATCAATTCTATGTCTTTGCCTTTTCCCACATTGAGAGGTTTCCTTTTTTTTTTTTTTTTTGAAAATGTTGTTCTCATGTTCATAAAGAAAAATAGAAACCCTATGTCGATGACATAATTTGTTCAATAAGGAAAGCTTAATGTGACAATTAGAAAATAAGATCAATGTTTGTCTATTTACTTTCTCTTTTTGTCTTTTTTTTTTTTTGAAATAACGATAATGATTAAACAAGAAAATTCAAGTGTGTATACTTTTTATTGACAATATATGTTGCTATTTAGAAAGACTATTTATCTTAATCAAGGAAGAGAGTGTGAGATTTTTGACCATCAGGTTAAAGATATAAATATATAACAAGGATCAAAAGTAATATTGATTAATCGTTATAAATTATTAAAAGAAAAAAGAAAAGATAAGTGCAGTATTAAATGAAAAGGATTAGAGTATAAGAATTGATTTATGTTTAAAAGAAATTAAATTCAATATTGACATATTATTGATCGATATGACTTTATATTGATTTAATCAAAGCGATAAGAAGTTGATTCGTTTTTTATTTTATTTTCTATAGATTATGTACACAATTTAAGTCAATTGATTTGTATTTTTTTCGAAAGTATCCATATTTTCAAAATTTATATATTTTTCATTGCTATTGTGGAAAAAAATGATCCATTTTAAATGCATGATAGGACGTCAAAAACAAAAAAATTTTGAAATTAGTTGTTTCCTTCTTGAAATGACATCAAAGAATTATGTAGTGACGTTGTCAAGAGTGGACCAGGTCGGGCACCGCCCTACCACTAGAAGAAAAAAAAAACCTGTAATAATTATCATCATTGACACTATATTTCATGAATTTCCCTTCAAGATCGTAGGGCATGGTTCTCTACCACCTACGATCTTCTGGTTATACCACTTAAATTATTTTTATTATAGGATAAAAAGAAAATATATTTGATTATTGTTATAAGTCAGAAATCAAATAAAATTTGTGTTAGAAATTGATGCAACATATTGAAATAAGAACATTGTCACACATGAATATTATTAATCGTTTGTAAAAAGAAAAGAAAAGAAAAAAGAAAGAAATGGTCCCTATGAGGATCGAACTCATGACCTCCGCGTTATTAGCACGGCGCTCTAACCGGCTGAGCTAAGGGACCATGCTTATTTTACTCGAAAAATTTCATATCTTTCTTGTCATATTATATGAAATTAAATACAAAAAAAAATATCTATAAACACATTTGAAGACACTAAGATACAATGATATTGTACAATGATTAAACTTGATAACATTCAAATGTTATTCAAACTATAAAAAATGCATGTTGAAGATATTGTCGCATGCTCATGATGAAAAAATCAATAATTTGTTGAAAAACGAATATTTTTATCGATAGTTGTTCGATATTTAATATACTGAAATAAATTTTCTCTGTTCTTTCTTTCAATGATATAAGAGGAAAACGTTATGTTTCAATTTAGTTTTTTTGAAAGGAAAAAATAAAAATGTACAATCAGTGACATTTATTACTAAGAGCAGTGTATCAGTGCATATCAACACCTTTCTAAATAACACTATCGATTAATTATTTGATTATCTATTCGTAATCTTGTTCATAACTATCGCATATCAATAATCACTCGTTGTTCAAAGCAACAGGCGGCTAACTTTTCTTTCCGTTTCTATTATTTAACAAGTTTTTATCAAAATTTTGTTCTTCGCTAGAATAAATTTTAAAAAGAAGACAACGTCTTAGTAAAGATCAGAAAACGGATGATATTGATTTGATTTGAGTACTCTCATCTTGTACTCAATCACGTACTTAGAGTGTATCAAAAATAGTATTGAAGGCACTTCAATGCTCTCCATTTCTGCAATATTTCACTGTTCTTCAACTAATATCATAATAATGAAATTTTGATAAGAGGCAGCTGTCATAATATATGACGATAAAATTATATCATATTGTCTTCGTATTGTTATTCTTCTCTTTTCTTTTTCTTATTTTTGTCTTCTTTAACACTTATTCATTTATATACATTACAGTATACAAAAAAAAAGATAGTGGCGGTGTATAACAAAATGGAAATACCGAAATAAGCTCATCAAGTTTTTGTTTGATTCAATGTTTGAAATGATCGACCTAGTACTCTGCTAAGACTTGCGAGGGAATGTTTTCAACTTATTAATCGCTTTTGAATTCAAAGTGATAGGAATTTTACTAGAATTTGAGTCTCTGCAATAGTATATATCAACAAATCGAATGGTGATATTTCGACTTGAGATTTTGCTTACAGACAAATCTATTTTTTAGTAGGATGGCCTGAAAAATTCCATTCGAAAAAAATGTTTTCCCAAGCTATTAAAGTCCCAAAAAATCACTCATTCCACAAAAGATGCTAGAATTTTTGTGTTTTAGAACTTCAATATATCAGGAAGAAAATCTTTTCTTTTGAGATCAAATTTTCTAGACATTCTACTGACACATATATTTATCTATGAGAAAAATCTCAGGTTAAAATATCATCATTGAATGTGCTGATATATTCCATAACACAGGTTAATTCTGGTCAGAAAGGCTAAAAAGACTTATGATTTTGAGGTTTTTCATATTTTCCTAGAGTTCACCTTATAAGTAAAAGATACATAGCGAAGACAATATGATCTAATGTTACTGTTATGTATTAAATGCGTATAGAGAGAAACTTCTCTTACACTTTCTATAAGGTATTGGACTACAACCGTTGCTACTTTTTTGTATACTTTAAGAATATCAAGAACTTCAAAAACAAAATTCATAACTTTATTAAATTTTGTGTTCATTTTCTATTTGAATACTTGACACGTCCTCTCGTTTTCGTCTTGATACTTCTCATTAAGCAAATATCAAAATGTTTTGTTTTTGTTTTGAATATTTTATTCTCTGTAAACACGTAACAAGAAAAATTACACACCACATAGAAAAGACAAAAAAAAAAATAATCGAATATCTTTGTTAATTAGCCTATAAAAAAAAAAAGACAAGTGAAAAAAGAAAAAATATTTTTTTTTTGTCGAATAAAAATAAATTCTTACTTGAGTTGTTGATGTTTCTTCTCCCATTGATGCAGCCATCATTTGTGCAGCCATATAATTAACTTGAACATTATATGTTGCTTGTACAGAACGTTTTATTCTTAACATTTCACGCATTGTATCTTCATTACCATGTTTAATTTCAAATTCTTTCCATGTTTGCCAAAAATCATTATGTATCTAAATAAAATAAAATTAGATAAAAATAAAAAGAAAAGAAACTTACTCTTGGATCACACATTTGTGAACAATGTGAATAAATTGCACGTGCACGATCAATTTCACCTAATTTTCTTTCTAAATCTGCATAACGTAAACACATATCTCTAATAGCACGTTCATCTTCTAATGATTCAATTGCTTTTTCATATATTTCACGTGTTGCTGTTATACCTTGCATTTCACCACAACGTTTTATATAAATATTAAACATCTAAAAAAAAAGAAATTCTTTTTTTTTTTGTTTTTTTAAATTCAAAAATCATATATTTACTTCTTCTTTTTCTTTTGGTTCAACTGCATTTGTTGCACGTTCATAAATTTTTAATGCTCTTCTATCAAGACCATGTTGTTCTTCTAATTTTGCATATAATAAATATAAATTTTTAGCAAATTTAGCTGGACAATGTTCTAAACATTGTTCAAATAAATCTCTTGCTCGTTCTAATTTTGAACCATCGGAATAACGTTCAACAAATTTACATAAATAAGTTAACCATATATCATAAACATTAGGCCATTTAAATAATGCAATACCTTTTTCATAAGCACGAAAAGCATCTTCATAATATTTATTTTCTTCTAAATAAAGTCCATAATTAATAATTATTTGTGGTGTTGCTATACGTAAATCAAGAATACGATCATATACAGATTTACATGTTTGAAATGTTCCATAACATTCTTCTAAATCAACATAAAATGACCATAATTTTAAACTTTTATGTAAACGTAATTGAACTGTTTCATTAGTATCATAATAATCAACCTTAAAAGAAAAAAAAAAATTTTTTTCATATGAAAAGATTAATATAATAAATAGGAGTCAGTAGGATGCGAAGAAGTCAAGAGCGAAAATAATTAATGATATACGAGGTTTACTAATTGATAGACGATTGAAACAGATAGATATATAGAAAAATCTCAAAAGAAACAAAAGTTTGTTTATGAATTTTCTCATAGAATAGATTTGCTGTCCAAATGAAATTCGAATAAATCCAATCGGAATTTTCAGTACAGACAATCTGAATTTACAGCAATCCAGAATGTGGATGTGGAAGGTATTTATTTATCGAAAAGTTGATTTCATTGACTCATAGATTAGATGAATGAGAGTTTTACATGGAGCCAACGGATAATCTTCTTAGACATTATTTGATTTAATTACGTTTAACCTCGAATCATTCACATTATACGAATTCTTATTTATTTTTGGCAACAAAACAAATGTCTTTTTGAATATAAAACTCGAAGGAATATCACTATTACACATAGTAATGCTTCTCAGAAGTTATTTCAAGTCTTCTCATCGCCATCGAAGATAATTTTTAGTAAAAATATCAGATTTGCTAAAACTTAGTTTTTTGAATGCCGGGTTTTTAAGCGTGAATTTAACACAAAGACATCATTCAGAGGGCGTCCATGAGACCATCGAGGAATTTTTAAAGGACCCATACTCCCGAAAATTTTGACCCCCTCATTTTATTTATGGAATTGATAGCCCATGAGGTGAAACTACTATACCCAAAATATTAGCTCGATTGATCATATTACAAAAAAAGTTATGAGGACCATACTGATGACTAAACACTGATTAAATCAGAATTGATACCACGTAGTCATCAAGCAAAAATCAGTATTTTGAGAAATTATCTCTCAAGGTTAGTTGATCCCAGAAATTTGGATCGTGCATCGAATGGGACAATAAAAATGCTAGAAAACCAGCCTAAAACAAAAAGTTTTTAATCCGTAAAAAAAAAATTTTTTTTTGGGAGTATGGGGTTTCTCGATCCTGTGGTGGACTCTCTCTTAAATAATTTTCTTAAATTGAAAACGAAAGATTGAAAGCGTTTGGTTCAACACTTGCTCATGTATAGAAACAGGCAAATGATAAGACTGATTTTTCTCAAACTAATGAAATTCTACAATGAGTCTAGTTTTATTAAATTATTTATGCATATCTCTCAAAATTGGCTCAGATGAAAAAAAAATCATCCACAAGAAAGTCAAGTAAAATCATAACATTTCGTTCGAAAACTAATTAAACATTCAAATATTATTCATATTACAAATCTTAGATAAAAAAGAAATTTAATTTAATTTCTTTTCTTATTAATATATAGTTTACTTTATGTCTTGGTAAAACAGTTGCTTGTTCCATTAATTTAATTGCTTCATGAGGTCTTTCATGTTCTAATTCCATTTCACACCAAGCACACCAAACAGCTGCTAAATCATCAACATTTCGAAAATTAACTTTAATTGCTTTATCATATATATATCTAGCTTCATCTGGTTGTTGATATTTATCATAAAATTGTGCAAATGCAATCCATAAATCTTGTAATTTTCCTGTACAAATTTTTGGATCAATTGTTTGTACGGCTGTTGTAAATGTTTGAATTATTTTATCATATTGTTCACCATATAATTTAACACGTTTTAACCATTCATTAACATTATGTGGATTTTGTCGAAGTAAAACACTATTTAACATTAATGGACGACGATCCATTAAATATTCTAAACGTGCAAGACGAAGTTCAAGTTCAAGATCATCTAAGAAAAAAATACCAAAGTTAAATATTTATTTTCTTTTTATTTTACCATCTTCAGTTATATCTTCATTATCTTCATTTGATTTATTCATTAAAGCACTAATAAGACCTTCTTCAGATTGTGCATATGCATCAAATATTTGTGTAAAATCACGAACAGTAAGAACAGATTCAATTGCTTCTTCAAATATATCACGAGCCTTAAAAAAAAACATATAGTTTTTTTTTATTTCTAATCAAAATTATTCGTTTTAATAATACTTTTTCAAAACAACCACTACGTATATAATAATCAGCAAGTGATGTCCATAATTGTCCAACTTGATCTTTATATTTTAATATACCTTGCCGAAGAATTGGTTCTACTTGAACAGATTTGATTTTTGTTGGATTTTTTGATACTAATTCACATAATTCATTCCATAACTTAAAAATAATCAAAAATAAAAAAAAAAATTTTTAAACTAAAAAAAAAAAAAACTTTTACTTGATGATTTGATTTTCCTTGACGTGACACAAAATTATCACGATCTAATATATCAACATATAATTTTGCACATTCATCCAAATTTCCTATTTCTCTTAAATAATCAATATATTCTTCAGCACATTCAGGTTGTAACTAAAAGAAAAAAAAAATTGAGTTTTATCTTTTTTTGCGGCATGGTCAAGTGTGATGAAATTTCAAAAAATTTCAACTCTTCTTTAGCAGAACAGAACGTTTAAAATTGTATTTCAAAACGAAGCGACAACCAAATAAACGTTCTGAGTAAAAAATGTTCATTTTTCAACAAGCTTTCGGAACATTAGGTCATTCCTTAACCGCTTCAGCGGAGTGTATTTTCAAAGAAAATGGAATCTATTGCGTAGCCTTCAGAAGATTACATATATAGCAAAAGTGGCTTTTTCACAGGGCTCTTTATCATTGCTTGTCACTATGGTGAATCTTCTCCTCAGTTCGTTACTACACAGACGTTTTGGAACAAACTAAATTTTTACTGCTACAAAAAAAAAATAGATAAAAGTCTCACTAAATTTATTACAATTTTCTTTCCACTTTCTTCATACGTTCTGAATTTTTTCTTGCATCTTTTCATCTCAAATCTAGAAAGTAGTTTTTAAAAGACAACTTATATGAACAAGATGAAATACTGAAAAAAATCAATTTGTAAGATGGAACAGTTGTAATTATGTGATTTTGTACAGTATGTTCGAATATATGTATGACAAATTTTTCTCATGCGTATAAGACAGATCATTTTCAAGGAATCGATATTTTTCTAAATGGATAAAGTTAGTAGGTAGTCAACGAGAGAGTGTCAATTGTGCAGCTCACTAACGATTTGCTTGATTCTATTCTGAAATAATCCATAAGAAAAGAACAAAAATAGATGCAGATGATGAACATATGTTAGCTTACGATCGGTGTTTTCAAGTAGACTCAATCAGTATCATAAGAGACAATCATAAATCGATTGTGAGTTGATTCAAAATTATCACGTATATCTATATGACTTGTCCTGAAAAGGTTAAACCCACAGAACCGTATTAGGCAAAAAGAGTCAAAAGTAACCAGCTATCCGTCATCACCAAATCAAAGCTGTGATAAACTAATTACTTCATTTTGTTTCGAATTCTAAGGTATTTCCTAAGATGTGCATACTTATAAACAAAAACTAATGTAAAATACTTAATCATGTAAAAACACCATGATTTTTGAATATTAATCAAATTCCATAAAGCATTCTTTCTACAAAACGGATTTATTTGATGGAACTTATTGAATTCTACCTGGTGGCGCCATTTTTATTACAAAAATTACCAATATAAGTGAACAATATGCACTATAAACAAGTTTCATGAGAGTATTTCATCAAAAATAGAGATGGCTTTTGAACACATTAGAGCTCTAACATTTTGTATGAGTGTCATATGTTAAAAGAGTACTTCGTATTCTGTCGATTAATATCTAATTGGAGAGTTTTATTTTGCACAAATTTTCGAGTTGACTACTTTAAAAAAGATTTTCCATAATGCTACTAAAGAATAGAAATTCTATCGATGATCGTTTCAACTTTCTTTATTTTTAAGTTCAAATACTTCTTATGAGTGTGTGATCGATGATTGACCATGCCATTCATTATTATTATTATTAACTTACTTTAAGATATCTTTTATAAATTCGCATAGCTGTATCTGGTATTTCGGGATAACTAGTAACAAATTTAATATATAATGGCCATATACGATTATGTTGTGTTATTGGTAATGCTCGAATAGCTCTATCAAATACACGACGTGTACGAGTTATTTTACATTGATCTATTAAAAATTGACAATAATCAAGCCATATTCGAGGCATCTAAAAATTAAATGATAAAGAAAAAAAAAAAACAAAAAAAAGTTTAATAATAAAATACTTTGTGCATAAAGACAAGAGAACGTTCAAAAGTATTATTAACTTCTTCATAAGAAGAATCAATAATACATTTTGAACGAATTTGTTTACGTCGAAGTTTTAAATAATTATACCATAATTTATAACTAAATTAAAGAAAAATTTTATTAATAAGAAAATAAAAATACTATATATGAATATACCTTCCAGGTAATTCACGTAATGCTCGTTCATAGACAAGATTTATTTTATCATTAGGTCCTTCTTTAATATGATCAATATATCGAAGCCAAGCTTTAACTGAATATTGATTTCGAAGACAATCTTCTTCATAAAGTATATCAGTTTCATCCTAAATATTTTATAAATATAAAGAAGATGGTTTTTTTTTTGTCTTATTAAAAGTTCTTACAAAAATTAAATTGGTTGTTGATGTTTGTTCTGATGTTGATGAATCGTCTTCTGTAGTCATTAGTTTTTTTTTCTCTATTGACAATTACCAAGGATTGTAAATTAGATGAAAGTTTAGATGAAAAAAAAAATATTTCAACAGAGAGATTTTCTTATTAGTCGATTGAATTCTATCAATGAAAATAATGTGTCGTTTGTGAATGATGGCAGTAGTAGACAGTTTGAATTGAATGAAAACAAAAAAAAAAGAGGAGTCACTGTGTGATTTAGAAAGTGTAATGATAGACATTATTCTACTAAACAATCGTCTTCTAAGTAGACAAAAAAACTTATCTTTTGATAGGATATTCTTCTACTAAAATATGTTTATTTTTTCATTTGAGCTAATACAACAAATCAGAAAGCTACAGATTCGACTACTGTATTGTATAAAACAGATAATGAATATATAGATGTAAAAAACGATGAAGATATAAAATAGAAATCAAAATTCAGTTTCGTTATGTTCGGTAATAAAATTTTTGTCTTTATACGATCGATTCTATCGAGACAACTGTGCAATGGTTTGCATCCATTAAAGCAAGAAGAAAATTTTCTCTAATTCCGTAGTCTAAATAAAAATAAACAAACGTTCCCTATTTGAAATCTATCATCATTTCGATACAAATCGAAACCTTAATAAGAAATCATAAATTTCGAAATAAGCCCTATAGATTTGAATTTCTTCTAACATTGTCGAAATTGTATCACGAATCTTCTCAAAAGTCATAATACGAATAAATCTGTGCGTAGTATTTGTTTTTGTCGTACTATTCAGCATCAATAATGAAAAATATCATTTTTGTTTATCATCAATTGGAAATATACTAAATTTTTAGAAATAAATATTAAGCACATATCTTTATTTTCTTTTATCAATTTAAAAATAATTTACTTCTAGGTCATTGTCAAATACAATAAAGTGACATGTATTGAAGTATTAACATCAAGTTTCCTCAAGATTATAATTATTTCCCTAAACTAAAGTCTATTATATATTATTACAAAGTCTTATATGACAAAAAAAAGCTAATCTTTAACTCTTTTCTTTTCTGATATTCATAGAAATGACTATATCGAAAATAACTTGATATTCTCTAAGAAACCTGAAAACATGTTGATTGCAGTTATACGAATTGTTTTTGTTTATTAACCATAATCAAAAGCCGATATTAAATATAAGAAGAATATTTTTGATGAAAACTGTTCTATGTCTAGCATAAATCTATAAAAGACTTTTATTATTTTCATTTGAGCATATAATCGAATGGATAAAAACAAAAAAAAAAAAGAAGAAAAAACTGACTACAATCTATATTTAAAAAAACAAATGTTAATTTTTGTCTTATTAATATGTTCCTTGAGCAATCATAGCTTCAGCGACTTTTTCAAAGCCAGCAATATTAGCACCAGCTACAAGGTCATAACCAAGACCATATTTTTCTGCAGCTTCTTTAGATTTTTTATGAATATTAACCATAATTTCTTTGAGTTTAGCGTCAACTTTTTCTTTTGTCCATAATAAACGTGTTGAATTTTGTGTCATTTCAAGTTCAGATACAGCAACACCACCTTTAAATAAACAAAACAAAAAAAAAAAAAAGAACAATATTAATTTACAATCAAATCTAATATATGAAATAAATTTATTAACCTGCATTAGCAGCAATAGCGGGTCCAAGAATAACACCATTTTTTCTGAAATATTCCATGGCTTCAGGTGTTGTTGGAAAATTAGCACCTAAAATATAATAAAAACAAAAAATTTTCATTTTCTTTATAAATATATCTTGTCAGAAAAAAAAATAAAACTATTACTAACCTTCAAAAACATATTTAACACCATTACTAACTAAGACTTTAGCTTCTTCCACATCAATTTCATTTTGTGTTGCAGATGGAAAAGCAATATCACCTTTTAAGTTCCATGGTTTTTCTTTTGGATAAAATTTAACACCAAATTTCTTTGCATAATCTTCTAATTTAACATCATTAGATCCTCGAATACGTAAAAGAAAATCAATTTTTTCATCAGTACCAATTCCTTCAGGATCATGTATATAACCATCACGACCTGATATTGAAATAACTTTTGCACCAAGATCACGAGCTTTAAGGCAAACACCCCATGATACATTTCCATAACCTGATAAAATAATAACTTTGCCTTTTAATGTATCACCTCTTTCTTTAAGTACCTAAAACAAAATAAAAAAATATGAAATTAAGAAAAAAAAAAGACAGATTATTAATTGATTTTTCATACTTCTTCGGCATAGTACATAGCACCATAACCTGTTGCTTCACTACGAATATAACTACCACCATATGCTAAACCTTTGCCTGTTAAAACACCATTTTCAAAGGCACCTCGAATTCGACGGTATTGTCCATAAAGATAACCGATTTCACGACCACCAACACCAATATCACCAGCTGGTACATCAATATCAGGTCCAATATGTCGATAAAGTTCGCTCATAAAACTTTGACAAAAACGAAGAACTTCAGTATCGGATTTACCATGTGGATCAAAATCTGAACCACCTTTACCACCTAAAAATAGACAAAAAGTTACTTATTTGATGATAATTTCAAATTTTCTTTCTTTCTAACCTCCAATTGGTAAACCAGTTAATGAATTTTTTAATATTTGTTCGAAACCCAAAAATTTAATAATACCCAAATAAACACTTGGATGAAAACGTAATCCACCTTTGTATGGTCCAATAGCACCATTGAATTGAACACGATAACCACGATTTACATGCATTTGACCTTTATCATCTTCCCATGGAACTCGAAAGATAATAACACGTTCTGGTTCAAGAAAACGTTCGAGTAAAGCCATTTTTTCATATTCAGGATGTTTTTCAACTACAGGTCGAAGATTTCGAAGTACTTCTTCAGCAACTTCAAGAAATTCTTTTTCATCAGCATTTTTTAAACGAAGTTTTTCAATAACACGATCGACGTAGTCGCTTGGCATGATGTATTTCTTTGCGTGTGTTCGGTGGTGTCGAGGTAGAGAGAAATAGACACAACTGTTCTTTAAATACTTGCTCGACGACAGTAATGCCCATGGTAAACCTTGTAGTAGATAACAAATTTGGCGATAGCTATCTAAAAAAAGCCTATGTTATGCGAAGAAGCACACCAGAATTTGTTGACATTATGTTTTGGGCCATACATTGCATGCGTGATAAGTACACTTAGTTGGCTGATAACAATGAATCATTGTATCATTTCAGAAAACGAGCCCGTTTATGCATTTTCCCAGATTATTGGAAAATGAGGTAAATTAAAAAGATAAAAACACTGAAAAATTCGACATAGTTTACAACATTTTTATATAATATTTACATTGTGGTCATTATTTTTTTTTCTATTTTATCTTCATGATATTATTTTATTAACGACATCATGGATATTGTTAGTTTCATTGGTTTTTCTAAAGCTAAGCAATTAAGCAATAAAAATAATAAGACTGAATTGCTAATCAAAATGTACATTAACAATATCACTGAATTTCATGCACTTATTCGGTTTTCATATGATCATGTGATTTAAATAAAAAGAAAATTTTGATAAAAAACGATATAGTATTATCCAATCTTTTGAATTTTGCGCTGCTGATAAAGTACACAATGAATAAACGCTTTTTTCAGATCAAAGTATATCATGATTAAATAAGCATCGCATCTAGGTTGTGTCAAAGTGACATTATTCTGAAATTATTAAGTATACTATTGGTTACATTATTATCTCAACCAAGTATAGTTGATCTATGAGAATAAGAAACATTGATATTCGTCTTATTAACGAAAATAAATATTTAATTTTCTCAAAAACGTATTATATGATTGTTAGTATCAATCTTTCAATGACTTCGTTAATATTCTGATATTTTCAAAAACTAATACTCATTCATCAATTGTAAATCTTAAATCAAACTAATGAAAGATGAATATGTTTTCTTTTCGTTTCTCAAACTTCAATTAAATGTGTTATCATATTTGCTTTTATTTATCAAGAAACACTTTCTAAAGATCTTCAAAATAATAATACAAATATTGTTCGTCATCTACAATATAAATTGATATTCTATACGAAACATACAATTTTGTAGTATTTACAGCATCGTGTATGATCAAGAGCATCTAATTGCAATGCAAACAGTTATATGATAAAATTGCTTCATGTTTCAATGCTTAGTTACAATCTGAAGAATTCATAATATTTATAAACTTTAATATTTATAGCCTCTAGCAAAGAGGTATATTGTTTCTTCTAATTGATACCAAGAAAATCTTTTTAAGATAAAAAAGATATCTTATTGTTTATATTTAGTAAAAAAATCTAGGTTATATGTCAGGATTACATGAAAATGAATTTTGATTGTTATTTTGAACTTAATTTTCCTAGAATTCATTAGCACAAATAGCACTCATTTAAAATTACAATATCAAGATTTATATTAACTTTAAAAGAAATTTTTCTAATATCTTCAAAGTAGTATATTCGTTTCAGATTTTGCTTGTTATTCAATCATGCTCAAATTTCAAGACTTATGACAGTTTCAGGTCAATTATGAATCGTACTCATTTCAATAAATCTTTACATGCTAGAAAACTACTACATTCTACTTCAGCAATATTGTTAAATCATAAATTTCTAAACATTATTTTCAACGATACTGAAGCTATCTTGTAACTTATATGACATCACGTTGCTACTAGTATATGAAAAGCTTTTTTTCGTTTACGAAAAAGTTTTACAAAAAAATTCAACCTATTATTCAACAACATCAACTCAATATAATGTTTAATGACTAGACAAGTAAGAAAAACAAGGTAATTTTAATTTTAGCATTTCCTTTTCAACGATTTCATACATTGATTAATTAATATTTATTTAGGTATTCGTTCGACTGATTTTTATGCTTGTTATACATCATTAACACATATTATCCGTAATAATTGTAAATGATTCAGCTATTTCTATTCTGGCGTTTCTATACCAACCCTTCATCAGGAAAAAAAATATCATCTAGTGTCATCTATTCATTTTTTTTCAAAACTGACCAGCATAATATTAAACATGAATTATTATTCATATTATGCTGATTTCAAATATATATAAATCTTAATATATGACCAATTTTTAAAAAAATGTCCTTCAGATAATGCATTTAGAAGAAGTAACTAGTACAAGATAAAACGCAGTTGTTGTATCAATAACTAGATCATATATCTAGGGAAAGAAAACGCATATCACGATGGTACCCAAACTCAAAAAGCTTTTTGTACTTTGGTCGCTTCATTTATAGATAAGGCGTACTTGTTATTATTGACCTCGTAAAAATCTCTTTTGACCTTCATATCTCTAAAAAAAACGTATCAGAAACATCAACGTGACATATTAGAGAATACTCTACGAGAAATTAATGAAAAAATTTTCTTAACTCAAATGTAATTTATCTTATACATTGAATATCTTTTTTTCTTGCATAGAAATAATTATCAACAAGGACAATAATATAAAAATAATCGTTCGGAGAACAAACAACCACTTTTATACTATACTAATGTATCATACAACCTTGAAAGTCTTTTTAACATATATATAAGGACAAATTTTTTTTTTCACGAATAAACTGAAGTCTTTTCAAAAAATTTTGCTTAAATAAATATATATCTTCCAAAACATTTGCTTTGTTTTATTATAGAGCTTGTAAAATTCTATAGTAATATACAAACACATGATAATAGTATATGTTATGAATGTCATAGATAAACTAAAATGAACCAATACCATTACATAGATAAGTTTCGGTGATATCTTTTGGAAATTATTTGATTATCATAAAATTTTCTTATGATCACTACATGTTACTCGTCATAAGAATGTAGCTCTATCTTCATTTTTGCTTTTATTATATATCGTATATCATTGTTCTCTCCTACATATGCTTCTAAATTAGTGTGCATGATCTTGATATTTTCATGGGGAAAGTTTCAATTAAAGCTTTATGTAGTAGAGACATCGTCTAGGATAGAATCACGATATAGTCTTTGATTATCACGTATCATTTTTCATCCATATAAACATATGTTACTACAATCAACACTATTGTCCTAATTACTTTATTTTTTTTTTTGTAGGGTACATTGCTTTTTGTGTGTACGGCAATAAAAAGATAAGTAGGTGACGAATAAATATACAAATGTGGTTCGTAATATATACCTCATGTTTTTGTGTCAATAATCCTATTATTCCAAATCATAGCACATATTATTCTGATGAAAAAGAACTGTATATATTAGTTTAATGCGTATGAATTTGTTAATTGATATTATAAATTGTGAATAAAATTTATTGTTTATTTGAAATAAGATAAACAACAGATGATTATGTTTTTCATAATTGGCAATAGAGTAAAAAACATATAAATATGTGATGTAATAGAGACATGTGAACCTGATAAGGATTGTATAGCAATTCATGAAAAATAAGATATATTGATTAACTTATACTGATTCTCTTTTCAAAATTGTTTTTACATATCTAACAAAATTTAATAATAAGAATATATTTTTAAAAGATGTCACTGCTATTATGCTATGTGCAAACCTGTTGTTTTTTTGTTGGGTTGGTATGACATAAAACCAATAGATTAACTATCTTACTTAATTAATAACTATCTATTTATTGTATAAACAAAGTTTTCCGAAAACCTCAGGATTATTTATTATGTATCTTCGACATGTTTCTTTGAATTTAAGATCAATTGTATTTACTCGTTGTCAAGTAAAAAATTCTTTTTTTTTTATCTATGTTTATTTATCATATTAATATTTCTTTAATAGAACGTTGGTAAATTAATCTTTCGTACATTATCAAATTCTTCTAATAATAAAATTGATTTATCTCAAGTAAAAAAATTCTCAAATGAAAATCATAATGATGAAATTGATACAAAAGTTACGATTGAAACAATAAATGAAAACAAAACACGTGAGAAGATTGAATGGGATCGACTATCATTTGTTGAAAAATTTGTTGAAACATTTTTTTCATCTCAAATCAATTCCATTGCAATTCTTGTAATTTATATTTTATTTTATTTTTTCTTATTCAAAAAAAAACATCAGGAAAAAAAGCATTTATTAATATTAGATTGTTGCTGGTGTTGGTTATGTCATATATGAGCAAGTTAAAAATGATTATGAAATAAAATCTACGTTTCGAAATGGTTCATGTCCGAATTTTAAATTCAAAGAAAAACAATTACTTGAAAGAAAATCATTATTAAATTCTCTTGTAACTATTCTTACACCTGTTGCTGATAAACTTGTTTCATCATATTATATTGTACTTGGTGAACATGGAGTAGGGTTAGATATTTGATAATTATACAAAGAATAAATAACACAAAAAAAAATTCCTTTCAATTATAGAAAATCAACATTAATTCGACAAGCAGCACGAATAGTTGGTCGAGGTGTTATTTATGTTGATGGTTGATTATTATTATTATAAATGTATGCAAACTTATTTATTCCTTTCTAGTTCCATCGAATGTAAAGAAATTTGGTGTTGCTTTTGCTCATGCAATAAACTTTGATTTTAAAGAACATATTCGTTTATCAACATGGATCGAATCGACAATGTTTAGTTCACCACCTGATGAAGGTATGCATTCAAGAACTTGTTTATTTTTGTTTGTCTTATTTTGTTTTTTTTTTGTTATCAAATGAATAATACTTTTTGATATTAATATTTATTCAGTTTGTTTTTCTATTTAGTGATAAAGTTTTGGCTAATGACTATTTATTTATTGTTCTAGGAGAAGAAAAAAGTTGGGAACGTGTCTTATTAATATTTGAAAAATATGCAATCGATTTTAAAAAGAAATATGGTTGTGTACCTGTATTAATCCTTGATAATTGTGATATACTTGCAGAAAAAGATCCAGAAATGCTTGAAATATTACAAGATACAGCTAAAACAGCTATTGATGATTCATCATGGATTACTGTATTTGTTACATCAGTTGGAATTGCACCGGAACAAATGGAAGGTTTACAAAATAGATTTTTATTTTTTATAATAATAAATAAATATTGTATAAGTAGAAGTCACTGTCTCAAATAGAAATCGAAAAATATCATTGGTTATAGTTACACTTTTAGATACTTATCAAAAAGATAAACCAGCTAGTGTGATATGTCAACTGAGTATTTCACACCTGATGATATCTATTATAAGTTGTCAACTAATGTAATTTCGATTTCAATGTCAGTTTGCTTTTGAGTTCGAATTTGCCGCAACTAGAGTTGACTGATGGTTGTCTATGAGCCTTATCAATATAAAAACAAATGTGATTGTTTTGGAATTGTGTTTGAAACATGGATAGAAGATATTTTTTTTTAGAATAAAATATAATTTTTAAACTTAAGTATTTCTTTGTTATTGTTCAAAGGTCGAAGTAGTATTACACGAGCATCAACATTTTTCGAAATATCTGATCTCTCTGAAGAAGAATCAATGACTTATTTGATAGAAAAAAGAAATCTTTCTCAAGAAATAGCCAAAGATCTTTACAATCTGTTCGGAGGACGTATAAAAAGTTTACAAAATGCAGCATCAAAATTAGAAAGTGGTGTATCTTTTCATAGTAAGTTAAACTTAGAGATTTCCTAATGAAAAAAAGAAAAAACAACAACAAATCCTACTTTCTTAATTTCTTTTTGTTTTTTTTTAATTATTTTAAGCTATACGAAAATCAATTTTACAAGATATAGCACGTCGAATTGAAAAGATCAGATGTCGAAAAACTCTTCAAGAACAAACGTTCTTATTCAATGTTCTTTGTGTTTTATCATATCAATCTGAAATAACAATTGATGAATTAATTGAAATTGAACAAGATGCTACTGTAAGACAAAAAATGTTAGATGAACTTCGTGATGAAACAATTCTTATCAGATCTGTTTCAACAGGTTCATATATATATCATAGTCAAAGTATAAAAGTATGTATTGAAGAGTATTATAAAGATAAATGTTTACATTATAAAACACGCAGAGTATGAAATTGTAAAACATATAATTGTTTGTTTTGTGTTTTTTTTAGTATAAATTTTTTAGTATTATTATATTTTTGTTTGTTAAATTTTTAACTAAAAAAGAAATAAAGTCAAATGATAATCTAGCCAAATGTTATATATTTATCTATGTTGTTTTTGTACTCTGAAAGAATATCTAATTAGTATTATGATTTATTATATAAAATATTCATTAGTAATGTCTGGCGTCATTTTTTTAATGTGAGACGACTCAAGTTAATGAGAAGATTAGATCATATTGCTTGTGAAATATAATTAAAGTATAAGCCGATTTTTTTTTTTCTACATATGAAAAAGGTTAGGAATAACTACTTAGTTGATTTTGACTTCAAAGATTATACAATCGAGTTCAATTAATTGTAATATTACTTTTAAAGTTAATCAAATGTCCAGTTGTTTCTTGATGAAAAGATATGTTAGTTTTTCTTTGTCTTTTATTATTTGATTTCCATTCTTTACCAATTGGAATCATCTACTACAAAGAGAAAGATGAAATTCGACGTCGAAAGCGAGAACGATAAAACTGAACCAGTAAAAAAATAAATATATATATATAGTGTACAGAAAACATAATAAACAAACACGCATACGTATACGTTAGACATAGCGTTGTGCTCGTTCTAGTCTAGTCAATCAAAAACAAAACAGCGAGTAAAATTCTAACACAAAGAAAATCAAAAATTTTTCTTTAAAATATCGTGCATTTGAAAATGATATCAACAGAAGCAAAAACACAAAATCAATCTCAACAATCAACAACATATGATGAACGTGTATTTAATGAACGTATTCGTCAATTATTTAATTCAATTGATTCAACTAATATTTCATCACCAAATAATAATATGAATCAAATGACTTCTATTGTTGATGCACTCTTTCCTGAACAAGCTTCTCTTTATCAACAACAGCAACATGATCAACGTCGTTCATCAACAAATGATCTTACAACAGCTTTTGATCGATTTTCATTATGGAGTAATAATAATAATAATAATAATAATAATAATAATAATAGTTCAGCTTCAGCCTTCTGTGGTGGTACTATAAGTGGTCCATCAGCATTTACCAATCGACGTCAATCAACATTACATAGTTCATCACGTTCATTACGAAATACTTATCATCATCATCATCATCAACAACAACATCATCAACCAAATCATTATCGACCACCACCTGTAACTCGACCTCGTTTTACTGCATCATCAATACGTATACCATCAGCTGCAACTATGTATGTATTCATTGAAAACTTTACAAATTTTTTATAAAATATTTTTTTAGAAGTGCTCCATCTACTAACTATACGAATGGACTTCAACGATCAGCATCATCACTTTCAACAAATAATACTAGTGCTACAATGGATTATCATCCTCGCTTTGCTAGTCGTTTATCAACAACTCGTTTACCATCAAATGCACCAGCAGGTTCTCATGATCAAATAGCAGGTAATAATAATACAATAGATCCAATAGCTCCATCATCATCTATCGATGTTACGGATCAAACATGTTCGGCTTCTGCTGTACTCTCTCGCAATACATCAACAACAAATGTTCAACCACAACAATTTGTAACAATGACACAAACAACAACAACAACTTTTTGTTATGTACCTGCAACAGGTTCACTTGCTTATAATAATTTAGCTGGAACAGGACGAAGTACAACTGTTTCTCATCATTGAATAAACAAAAACAAAAAAAATTCGACAAAAATATATAATTCATGTTTGCTGTTTGGTAATTATTTAAAACATGTCGTTGTTGTGTAAGACACATGTTTATGTTTATGGATCTTATTTATGGTTTACTTGTGTGCGTATGCAGTTCTTCTTGTTCTTTTCTTTTTCTTTCTGTTAGACCTTAGATAAAATGTCTGTTGTGTTTGTCGAAGAATTTCATACACAGAAATATATTTATCTATTTATTTATTTATTTATTTATTTTCTTCTTTTGTATTAACTGTTATTTCTTCTTGTTATTACTCTCAAAATAAAACAGTTAAATTTAAAACAAAAAATATAATTCTGATTTTCTTATTCACAAGACTTTACATTCTTAAAAAATTTGTATTTTTCAAATGTTATCATTATTTTTAATCTTAAAACAAAGTTAAATTGTTTTCAACTGAATCAAATTTGCCGATTTAATTAGAGAATTTAATCAGAACGAATAAAGGCGTTATTCAAGTCTTTGAATATTATTGTTCGATCATGATAGTTATGGACTCATAATCATTGTTATTACCAAATGTTGATCATCGAACAAGCTGAGATTTCTTTTTTCTGAATAATTCATGAGTTATAAACATTTTATTTCTTCTGCTATATAATTCTAATAATTATTGATCTTCGATAAATGAAAACTTTTCTTGCTACCATAATCTAGTGACTACTCTTCTTCATCTACGATACAAAGTTCAAATCTTATTTGAAAGTGATTACTGAAATACAACTATTTTGCAAAAACGGATATTTTTGAAGTTTGAAATCTTCTTCCAAAACAAAAAGAAAATTATAAATCAGTCGAGAAATGTTTTTAGATGATTCACACAAACTATGAGAGGCTGACTTGTGTATAGTTTGAGAAGTTCATTGAAAATGATTATTTACTATTGAAAAATATATACAGAAACACAAATGAGGAAACAATAAGGTTCATTCACTTCATCATATCTTTTATACACAATGTCCATTATCATTATGTAAAAGTATAATAATGAAAAGTTGGAAAGAAAATACCCACAGGCAAGATTATGTCACCAAGACTTTACATACATTTTAACTATAAGTCATATCATTTATTTTGCGTCGTTTTTTGACTTTACACATATAGTTGCAAGCAAAATTATTAATATAGATTGAAAATTAGACAACAAAAATAATTTTGTAATATCTTGATAGCTATTTGTATTCATATACTATTCAACAATTTAGAAGCTTTTAAAACAAAAGCATACAGAATTCTATGCGCTGATAAAACAAAAACTAAACACAATTCAACGAAGATCTACAACGTAAAATTTATATATCTCATGTCGAGTCTAATAGAAATAAATTTTTATTTTAGTCTTGTACATTTCAGATATATGAATACTAAGAATGAACTTTCTAAAGTGAAAACATGATTTTTTACAAGAATTGATAAGCTTCATGCTATTCGATTTGACATCATTATTTAACACAATTGAAAAACTTCTTATTTTTTTATAAACATACTATTGCTAATAGAAAGAAAAAATGGACTACGAAGTTCGACTATTGTAAAACACAATTTTAAAGGAATGTTGAATTAGATAAGGTAGAAACTCGCATTCATTCCAATTTCCCCTTAACAGATCATGATAGACGTAGTTGATATACGATCAAAGATCATATATCAATAATATCGCAATACAATATATGAACTAAGTGGGCGGGTATTTTTTGAATAACTTTTGATAGAACCATTGTAGAGAGCTGCGGTTTTCACCGTTAAAAAGAGGAGATGAAGACGCATCGAACTGTATATTACAAAGTAATTTAACCTAATTTTATCAAGGACTTAAATCGACGTTTTTCAAAACCACCATACTTCGTAAGGTAACTAAGGCGAATTTTCAATAATCAGGTACGCATTCGAAGCGCTAAATGAAGATCTTTAAAACTACGCAAGGTCCAAACTTTTACGCTTACCAGTTTAAGTGTTATAGGCATTTTATGTGAAACTCTTAGCCGATTTTTCTATCAATTTCTGTAAAACAAAAATTACTTTTTTTGTGTTTTTCTTATTTTTAGAGAAACCGATTTTCCGTAATTTTTTCAGAAAATTCATCAAGAAAAGTTTAAAAAACGTCCTAGAGAAACCTATAATATACTACTCGGTGCGTCTTCATCTGGTCTTTTCAACGGTGAAAACCACAGCTCTTTACAGAGGTTTTATCAAAAGTTATTCAAAAAATACTCCTCCGCCTTTTTTTGTTTTTTGAAATGGACAATAAATTCTTATTCCACTTGTAGAAGATTAAGTAAAACGATGATGAATAGATGATATGTCTCAAAATAGATAGAATAAAACAATCTTCCTATAACTTGTAACATGATCCATATTGTGCCTTACAGTTTAGTCCCACAGGACTTGCACCTACAGCTGTTACATTAAAGTTCATATTTTTTAAGTTTTTTTAATACTTCATATTTGTATGAAGCTAACAGTTAGCAAATTTTTTACAATAAAAGAAAAAACTTTTTTTTTCAATTTTTTTCGATAAAAACTACTGGTAATAGAGCATTTTTGAAAGTGAGTTACAAGCAACCCAGAAAAATGTATATGCAATCTCGAAGAAGAAAATCTTCAATTTACACCGAATTTAACTTTTAATGGCTACCTAAGGTTTCGTGAACGTAATCAATATAATTAGAATTATTTAAAGATTTTTCTTATACAATGAAAAAGTTCAAAAGTAAAAGTTAGAGCTTCAAGCTTGATGATAATTGTAAATATATTAAACAAAAATTTTCAACATGAATAACAATCAACGAACTAATTTTAGGACCGGAAAAATTGATTAAAAGAACGAGATAAATCAACCATTAAGGTGTCAAACTTGTTTATTTCTGGTTTTAACATGAATGACGCAGGAGATAATTATGTTAATTCGATGTGCAATATGCATTATTTATTTGTTGATTATGAACTAATTTTGTTTTTCCTAATGTTGAAGACATGAATCAAATTTACAATTATAGTATTCTATCAAAGATCAAAGGATATCATTTTCAGGTATGACTTTGTTTGACATAATATTTAGCATAAAAATTTCTATTTTTAAATAATATTGTCATTAGTCTGTTTTTTGATATTTACGTATGTAATATTCATAAAAATAGAATTATTTAACATGCTCTTATTGAAAACATATATATTCGATCTTTTCAAATAATTATTGACATATTACAAAAAAAAAAAACCAAAAGAAAAAGAATATTTTTCAGTTCATAAACAGAAAAACAGAGGGCAAACAATTTGATTCAAATAAGTGTGGCTTTTTTTTTGTTTTTTTTTCGTCTAGAGAAAGAAAAAGAAATTCACATACATAAACAACAGAGAACACGATACACAAACAACAACAAACATAAGGTAATAATCAAACCGTATCAGAAGAATAATCAAATAGTTTGATAGACAATTTAATAAGTAAAATAAGACAGAATGAGATTCAAATGAAAAAAAACCAATAAATAACGAAAGCACATAATGATGATGAATTTATTAATAAAAACATTAATTTAAATTTTATCGATGATAATCTAAACTAATATTATTTTTTTCAAATTCATCAAGTGTTAAATCAAGTATATTATCATCATCATTATCTTCTTCTTCTTCTAATTTTGATTGATGAATTATTTCACGTACACGTTTTTGATATAATTCATTATATTTTTTAATATTTGAATAACGTCGAAGTAAACTTGATGTTATTTTATCTTGATAATATGTTTTTGAATATATTTCAGTTAAAGATAATATACATTCATTTAAATCATTTTGTGTATATGTTGTTAATTGAATATAATAATTTGACCAATTAGTATCAATATTTAAATATTGATTAAGTAATTGAATTGAATATAAAAGACAACTAGCAGCTATTATTGATGAATAATATAATGAAAATGGTCGATCATATAAAAGTGTTAAAGTACATAAATAATTTGATAACATTATAAGACATTTATAATCATCATTATTATCTGTTGATATTATTGATTTAAGATTAATTAAATAATGTTGTAAAAATGTATAACATGTTGGTCCGGATATAGAAAAATTAAGCATCTATATGAAAATTAATAAAATTAGAATAGATTTCAATTTTTATATAGTTTAAAAGAAAAAATGAAACACTCGAAATAGAATCATATTTTACATAAATTGAAAGACGAAACTTTCGAATAAATGTTTTTTTTTTTTTTCATATAATAAATTATTAGATAACATCATGACAAAACTCACCGTAGAGATAAATAATGTGTGGTTGATTCCTTTGAGGACAAATCTTTTCCACCTCCGATGGTAGTTGATCATAAACGAGTAGAATTAGCTGTCGGATATCATTATCATAATACTACTTACAACTTCCTACTATTTCTTAACTGCTGAAATTATTGATGTGAAAATTCATTTTACATATGAATGATTATCAGATTATTTTCTTCTATCCATCAAAGGAAATTAAATGTCTTACTAATTTGAAGTGAACTTTCAATTATATTTGCCGAAATGCATCCTTTAATTAAACTTATTTCTAATATTGACATTGATCTTACATTTATTCTTACGAATAACTAAATTAAAAATCAACCTTAATGCAAAAAACAAAAAAACAAATTTTTTTCAAGATAAGTGTAAAAAGATTTAATGTTTTCTAGATAAAATATATATAAATATAATCGTCTAATAGTTTACTCCATATACTTTCTTCTATTGAATTGATTTGTTATTGGAAACGAAATTTTTCTTATATATTCAACACAACTTACTTTCATAATAATTTGTTCCATACGAAGAATATGTTTTATTTCATATGTATTATCTGTTATAAATGAAAATTCTTCTAATGCAGGTGGATACATTTCTTCATATTTTGATGCTACATACATACATGTAGTACCTAAATAATTGAACAACAACAACAACAACAACAAATATTCATTATATTTTTCTTATTATAAAAACTAACCAAGTAATTGTAATTTTGATCTTGTTACATTTACTGTTGATAAAAATCGATCAACATATTGTACACAAAGAAAAAGTGTTTCATCATTTAATTTATATTCATCAGTAACTTCAATAAGCCAATCGATAAGGATTGTACGCATTGCAGAATTTATATCCGATTGATATTCCATAAAATTAACTTCTTAACAAAGAAAACAATACTTATTAAACTGAAAAGCATTGTTTTTTTTTTGTAAGAAATACTTACTGGGTGCATAGATATGTTCTACTGATTTTAAATGTTCAAATATTGATTGACGATATTCAGGTCTAGAAAAAGAAAATGTTAGTTAGAAAATTTGGTCTCAAACGAAGATATATATACGTGTCAATTAATCTTAGAAATGAAATTCTATCTGATATTTTCTATCGAAAGTAAAATTCATTTGATTTTCATTTAGAAAAATAAATGAGATTAGGATGAATCCGCGAGGTTTCTACCACAATTTGAAAAATTTTTTTGGAGTTTGATATTCTAGTGAGACGTAACATCGTCGAAAACGGTTAGATCATCTTTTAGGAACAACTCAATGTATTTGTAATTGGATTGAATATCAAAATCGAAAATAAACAAAACTTTTTCCATCAAAATGGTAGAAATTTCACGGATTCACCGATTATTTTCAATATAATATAGGAAATATGATTACTAGTTTTTTTATTTAATGATATATTTGAATTTTACTTACAATTCATATAAATCCTGTTCAAGTTGTTCACGTGTTTTATTATTATTTGATAAAGATAATTTTTGTTCAGAAAAATAATTTGTTTTAACCATTGGTGAAATAAACATTTGAGTATTATTTTCATTTTCATTTTCTTTTGAATATTGTTTTATAGAACGTATTGCTGTAAGTATAGGTCTTGATGTTATTGAAATTTTATTTTTTAATAATGATGGTGATAAATTTTCTTGTTGTAGAATTGTATTCGATATTAATTTTGTTTTATTTATTATTTCGATTGATGAAGATTTCTGTAATGAAACATCTTTAAGTGGAAGTCGATTTTGCGTTGATCGCAGTACGTTTCGATTCGAATTGATCATTTCTTTAATAAATAAATATATATCTCATCTATGAATGTCTTTTTTTTTTGATTCTGTTGAATCAAAATAAAATCTTACTCGAATCTTAAACGAACTATACTGGTCGACAGCAAAAAAAAAACGATGAAATACAGATGAAGCACAAAGGATCAATTTGTCTATAACGAGTCTACCAGTCTTTGTTTAAAGCGCTTGTTTTATTTTTCGGCCAATAATTCGTGTAATGACGAAAGAGTTCGCTAGTCAATGTGTGATACATATGGGAAATAGAAGCATACATGTTCAATCATATTTACAAATCGAAAAGATAGAATTTCAGTGGCGTAGCCAGGAGTAGGGCCATTGGGCAACTGCCTTTAGCTCCCAAAAGTTATTGCCCATGGATTTATTGACCTATGCAGTACTGGAACAATTATTGCCCATAGATATTTTTGAAATCATAACGATTGCCTCTTAGCTGTCCGTAACTCAAAATAGTTCGGCTGATGAATTGCCCATGACTGAAAAATTCCTGCCTACGCCACTGTAGAATTTAATATTTCATTGTTGAAAATTTTGTTATTTATAGTCTATTGTTTAACTATTAATGGATTTATATATATATGTGTGTGAAAACTCAAAAAAAAAACGAAAGTAACAAAAAATATTGTTACATGATATTTGAAAAAGTAAATTTATTCTTTTCGTAAGCATTATTTCAATATATTAATAAAATTTCATGTAAAATTAATACTAAATAGAAGAGAAAAAAAGAATATATGATTTTAAAATATTGATTTAAAGACTTGTAAAGATAAATGACTTTTAGTTATATGAGTGGATAAAGTACGTGATGTTGAATATGATCTATGAAATAAGCTGACTTTTACATTTATAATTAAATCAAGGCATCAAATTTAACATAAAAAGATTGACGAGAAAGTTTGTCCAAATATTATTCAAAGCATAAAACTACATCACGTAAATACAACTATAAAAAGAAAATATATCTATTTTTTAGTATGACCTTTAAATAATATGATTTCATAGATTGAAAAATATGCTGATTGATATTGAATTATGCTATTCTATGAATAACAAAAATTAAAGTAATTGAATAAGTTTTAAATATGATCAAAATTTGTTTTTTGTTTTTGTTTTTCTGTCAAGTAAAGTCACTGGAGATTGACAATGATATGTTTATTAGAAACTGTCGAACAGCAATGATCTTTCTATTATTCAAGAAAAATATTCAACTTAAAAGCTTTGTTTCTCTTATAATGAAAATCTAGAAAAAAAAGAAAATATTGATTTTTGATTATAAAACAAAAACTTAAAGATTCAGTTGACATTTGACTTCGTGTACTTTGATTCTCCAAGGAACAATTATTTCATATTCAATTAGATATAAATTATTTCTGTCGATGATTTTCTCTTATCATTATTTCTGTTTCTAATAAAATCTATCAATAAGAAAAGAACCATATTTTTCTATTGTCGTAAACAATTATTAATCAAACATATATTATTCAATAAATATTTAATTTCATATGTCATCACATTATATATATATATTTTTTCCTTAAAATTCTTTGTTTTTATTTCACTTGTTTTTTGTTTTGTATGAATATAAATAAAAAGAAAAGATTTTATATACAAATAAATTAAAAGAAAAGAAAAAAACAAGGTATCTAACCCAAACCAGATGCTTTTAAATTTTCATCAATTAAAATATTATTTGCAACACCATAAAAATACACTAATTGTCCTTGAAATTCTTGTCGATCAACAGTTTTACAAACTCCACATCGTCTATAATTAAATCCTCTTGAACAAGTTAAAAATTTATTCCATATTATTTGATCATATTCTTCATTATTTTCTGTGTTTAATTCATCATTTATTTGAATATCAATTTTATCATCATCATCATCATTATCTTTTGGTAGAACAGGATGTAATTCACGTGATTTTCTACATGAACCTCGTCTACTATGAACTTTTTTCGAACGATGTTTTAACGCATCATATCCTCCGTCAGGTAAAAGAGCTTTCGTTATAATAGTTCGAACATTTTTTGTTAATTCATACCATTCTTGAGGATCTTCTTCAGAAAGTAATTCATGTGTAGGTTTAGGACGATAGCGTTTATCATGTTTTAAACGTGTTTTCATACGTGCAAATAATTTAACTAATGAAAATGAATGATCATTATTAAATTCACTCTCTATGGTATCATCATAATAAATTGTTGGAGGTATACGACTAATTGTTGTTGAATAATTATGATTATTATTATTATTATTATTATTATTTAAAGCATTTAATGGTGAAAACCGTTGTTTAGTTGAAGAAAATGAACGTTCATCATTATCATTATTTTTATTATTCTTATTATGATTTTCATCTATAAATGAATAATGACGTAAAAATGGAGATTGATTCATTTGTTTTTGTTTTTGTTGTTGTTTTTGTATTGTATTTAATATATTTGTTGTTGGAGATTGTCGTAGAGCACCACAGTGTTGAGTTAAAAAACGATAATTTTCAATAAGATCATCTTCTGTTTCATCGATTTCTTCATCATATTCATGATGATGATATTGATGACGATGATGATGTTGATGGCGATGATGATTTTCGTCATCATCACTATTATTATTATTATCATTGTTGACATTTCGAGAATTTATTGTCGATTGAAGAGCCATATTTATAGAAATGAAAACAATATTAATTCAAAAAATGGATTAAAATAAATTTGTTTTCTTGTGTTTGTTTTTTTATTGTTGTAATATTAGTGTGAATGCTTTGGATGTCGTCTTTTTAACTTTCTGTTACTAATATATACTTTGAAGGCATTATTCGCATATAGGTAAGAACGGAACTCTTCATAATATATTTTGAAAAGCGACGATAATGTGACAGAAAAACGGAAGAATCATGTCGATGAGAAAGAAAAAGAATAAGATAAAGAAAGAAACAACCATAATAGATTGAGCTCAAGTTTGAGTAGGAAAACATTCTCATCAACACGTTTTTCTCTTTGATTATATGCCTGTTTTCTTTTCTCTCTCTCTCTCTCTCTTTCTCTCTCTTTTTTTTTGTTGTATTAAATTCAACTACCGTTAATAAAAATAATACAGAAGGAAACTATTAATAAATCAAGGCAAGAAAAAAAAACGAAGAAAAAGAAAGAAAGAAAAATATCTGTCAGGATAGTCTTTTTTTTGAAGAGATAATTTAACAACATAAAATAAAAAAACTAATTAAAATAAAAATTTTCATAAAATTCTATTTTACATTACTATATTAACTTTGCAAAAGAATATTAAATTCTCCTTGTTCTTTTACTTCGCATATTATTATTATTAAAAAAAGCTGAATTATGTTTGGCTCTATGAAAAGAAAAATCCTTCGAAGACATTTTCATTCATGTGCACTCATTTGTAATAATAACAAATGATCTATTCTCCTAGAATTACATATTATGATTGAGCGGAAATTCTTTTAATGATTGATAATTGTCAAACGTATTTTAACTATTTTTATTCATTCTTCAAGTCTATTCATATAAATACAATCAAGAGACACAATGAGACTGACACAAAAAAAAAAATAAACCAACCATCTGACATATATAAATGATCATACAGAAACAAAAAAAAAAAAAAATAATAATAATAAATTCGACACGAATTAAATTTATTCATGTCCATGAAGTAAACAATATATGCCACGCATATTTTCTGTTCGATGTTCATCACAAAATGAACTTAAACAATCAGCACATGCTATGTTTGCATCAATACCACATATATCACAACGATGTGATGGACATATCCAACGTTCTAAATAGAATAAAAAAAAATATTTTCTCTATGTTTTGAAATATTTATTTACGTGTTGGAGAACGATTTCGAAATGATTGTCCTTTAACTTTAATACATTTTGGATGAAATTTTCTTGAACATTTCGACATTTGACATGCTATTAATTGACCTGTTAGACCACAACCAAAACATGTATCAACATCTTGTTCACCAGTTATATTTGATGTACGTATGCGTTGTTTATTACTATAACGACCATTTGAAACTCCATTTGAACCCGATGTTAATGATAATGTTGTATCAGTTAATGATGGAACCTAAGAAAATTTTTTTTTTCAATATAAGAATATAAAAGTCATTATAAATTTACTCCGCCAAGTCTTTTTGATCGACCCATAAAACCAGTACATGTTTCAGCTCCACAAAGACAATGAAATATTGTATCACCACGAAATTCTGATTCAACACCATATTCAAATGTTAGTTCTTCGCCTAGAATTAAGTTTTTTTTTTTCTTAGTATATTATCATTATTGTCTGATGAAGTATATATTTACCAGCTTCAATATCACGTATAGCAAATAAACCAACACGTAGATCACCAGTAATATTCCATTTTTCTGTACGTAAATTTGGATCACAGCTATGATTTGCAAAGCGTGATAAATTTCCACGTGGTCCAGCATCAATTACACTAAAAAAATTTAATTTAATAGATTATTAAAATTCTTTTTTTTTTTTTTCATTTCATTTACCGATCTTTATCAAGAACAAGGAAATAAAAATCTTTGACATTATTTTTACGAGCTAATTTAACACGTCGTTCAGTTTCTTCATAGGTTATTAGTTCACCAACATATTCGTTTACAAATTCGCCCTTGATTATTATATATATATATATGAATAGATTAATTAAAAATTTCTTTCATGTTGTTTTTTTTTTTTACTTCTTTTATTGGCACTAATGTTCTCAGACCCCAACCGCGACCAGCTGTCCAAAACACTTGTTGAGCAGGATAATTACCTAGTAGGAAAAAATAAAATAACAATTTTTTTGTTTTTTTTAATTAAAATTAAATGAATAAATTAACTTACGTTTTTGAAAGCGCTAAATATTAAAATTAAAATAAAATTAAAATTTAATCAAATAATTTAAAATAAAAATCTACCTGATTTTTACATTTGTCCCCTAAATTAGAAACAAAAAGAGAATTATATGTAATCAAGTGTAATTTTGAAGCATTTATTTCTAAAAGCACAATAATTCATACTCTATTCTATTCTAAACATTTCCGTTTAACTTATACTTCAGAATGTACTGAAATCATTAACAGACATGACTTCATCAAACATAATACTATATATATATATAATGCAAATCATAAAATCCGGTATTATATTCTTTTTCTTTATTCCAAAACTGACGCAGTTTGACGGTATTTTCATTTTAATTAATATAATCTCATATGATTTAGAAAAATAATTATCAGTCCTTAATATTTCAATACTCAAGTTTCATATCTCTAGATGTTGAAAAAACTCTAAAAGAATATTTGTATCATATTCTCTAAAGGATTCGCATTAATTTTACTAACATAGATATTCATATTATTGAATTTACTGTTGGCTTTTACAGTTAATGTTACTATGTACTAATACATTTGAAAAAAAGAGAAATATTTTATTACATTGTACTTTTGTTTTGGACTCGTTTATAAATAAATTAAGTTCACAGTGACAAACTAATAATGATTAATGAGAATTTTGTTTAAAGAAAAAAAAAAAAAAAAGATTATCATAGAGATTTTTCTGTTCATCTATAGTGCAAAATTTTTCTCAATAATAAACCCTACTTTACTAATTAATAAATACTAGAGTTAATAATCTTGTAAAAATATTTCCTTAGTAACAATTTTTCTGTTTTGTTTTTTTTCTTTTCTTTTCATTTAATAATATTAAAAACAATATGAACATTATTGTTTTTTATTCATTTGTTTCATCAATTTTTCTTTTATATTATAGTATTACAGAAATAAAATTAATATTAAATATCTGATTAATGAATTTCTACGAAATACATCAATTCAACTTTTGTATATATGACTTTAAGATTAATGAGGACATAAATCAAGTAATAGAAACCAAAAACAAAGACATTCTAGAAAAATTATATACTTGTTGCTAATCATTCATACTATCACCTTTAGTAGAGTTCAACAAGGAGAAAATGAAAAATGCAATGAAATTAGAAGTTTAACAAAAGAAAAAAAGTAGGTGAATTTAGCCATGCAAGTAATTTAATACTTTATGACGTTCACATATGATTAAATTTCTTATAAATCAAGTCTACAATCTTATAAATATATAATCAAAACTAAAGGTAGTTTTGATCTTAGTACAAGAAAAATAACAGCGCCATTCTATGACTAACCAGCAGCACAAACATGTGGATGACATTCATATTTAAGCATTCGATTAAGACAATGTTCATCGGAACTACATGGATCTGGTTTATTTGGATCACAATCACAACGAGATAATTCTGCTAATGGTGAACGAAGAATTTGAGCTTCACCAATTGGTTTTAATGTCTTAAAAATGACAAAACAAAAAAAAAGAAAGAAACTAAAATGAAATATACATTCAAATTTAAATTTCTACTTTAATATGTCTATAAGCAGGCATTTGTCCATTTTTATTAGCACTTTTATCAATTAATTTTGAACGTCCATTAACTGTTGAAATTTTTTCTTGATCATTTGTTATTGATTCATCAGAATTCATATCTACAGATTCATCATCTGTTTCATCATCATCATCATCATCTTCTAATTCATCATATGCATCATCTAATGTCATTTCTTCAAGTTTAGTTGCTTCACCATAATTTTCAACTGAATTTGTTGCATAAAATTGTTTTAAACGATTATAAAGACGTTTAGCTTCACGAAGACCTAATAAATTTAAAAATATAAAAATATAACTTTTGTTAGTTTTTTTTGCAAAAACTTTTACCATCTTTAAAACTTTGTTCAGCAGTAGAAAAATCACGTGAATCTTTTGATTTAATACAACGATTTTCAAATGATAAATAATGATGTTTATTAGCCCAAAAAAATTCTTTTGAACCAAAAAAATGTATAAGAAATTCTCCAACTGTACGTTCTTGTGCAAGTAAATTATCTGGTGCATGACGTTCATGTAATATTCGACTTGGCCAACATCTAATAATTAGAAAAACAAAAATATTTTGATTCTTTTTATTTTGTTTTTTTTTTGAGTACCGAAATTTTCCCATTTTAATCCAACATATATCACCATATAATGGTTTTAAATTATTTAAACAATCATCACATTTCCAACTTGTTGGTTTTTCATCATTTTTAGATATTAAACATGATTGATGAATAGTTGTTGGACATTCAATACAAACAAAACATTCAGTTGATCGAGTTGATTGCTCACATATGTAACAATATGGAGCAATACCTGAACGTACTGGTTTACGTTCATTTGGAAGATGAATTGGACAACAAAGTGATGATGAATATGTTATTGATAGAGAACCAGCTGGTAAACAACGTTCATGACCATGATAAGCGGTTGGACAATACAAACAAGTAAATAGATGACCTAGAAAATTTTTTTTGGTAGAAATAAATTATTTCTTATAAATATGCAAATATTATTCTATCCTATACGATAGAATACATAGTATAAAAAACGAAAGCTTATATTTCTCTTATTCATCAATAACAATCATAAGATTTTGTTTTAGTGTTATATATATAATCATTAAGATTTGAATATAAAACATTCAGTATATTTTGAGAATTAAGGATATCTATGGTACAGTATTATTTTTGAAAATGAAATCAATAAAAATAAGACAAAGAAAAAACTGAAAATAATGATCTTGATTGTTTAAACTTTAGCCGAAATAAAAGTAAATATATCCAAAAATTTATAAGTAGTTAAAAAGTTATAATTATTGTAAGGCATCCGTTCGAAAAAATATTTATAAACATATCATTAGCATATAATTAACCTTGAATTATATCCTTGTGGATGTGAATATAGATGTTTAGATCGTATCTTCTTCTGAATCACGCCCACAACCATCCATACTTTTACTGATGTGTGTCTCTTTTTGTGGCAAAAAAAAAAAGATAATCTAGCACAAAACCTAATTAACATTGATCAACTTATTTATCGAAATTTTTCTTTTTTTTTATTTGACTCTTATCCTTTCTTTTTCTAATGAATAATCTTAATTCATTTTAAACTGCTTATCTTTTTATTTCCATAGAAAAAGAGTGTAATTACTGAAAACTTTGTTGACATTTTTATTTTCAACCTAAGTTGAGATAACGTACAATCATGAAACATGATTATTATATATGGCAGAGAAAATTCTAGATGATATTATGCTTTTTAGTTCGTTTACATATTAATTATTAGTGAATTACGATTAGCGAGATGAAAAATTTGCTAGTAGTTTGTAGTGATGCTCTCAGCAAAAAGAAAAAGAAATCTGTAGGGAAAATCGGAAAAACTGAAGAAAGCTTATCTATCTTTGAGTCTTTGTGAAGTATCAATAAACATGCGATTATTTATCTCATATTCTTGTCAACCGGAAGACTCTACCACGCTTTTCTGATTTCTTCCGGCAATATTCGATAGATTCCAATCCTTTGATTTTGATATTCAAAAAAAAAATATGTAATTTTACTTAGATTTAATAGGTTTATATAAAAGATTTATTTTTTTCTGTAAAAGCAGATCTTTAAAATCTAAGCGATATCAATATGCGCAATATTTATATTGTATAATAGAAAAATATTTATCGAAGAAAATAAGTTTCATTGATTGAAATTGTAAATAGAAAAGAAATACCTATATTATCATTAGGTCGTTTATGTAGATGACAAGTTGCACAAATATGTAGAGGACAATAATAAACACTCGATGGTAAAGTTGTAGTTAAATTTGAATTTACTAAACATGATGAATGATATATTCGATTACATTGATTAAATCCACATTTTAATTCATTATCAGTAATTAATTGTTGGCATAAAGCACATATTAAATGATCTTAAATTAATAATAAAAAAAAACAAATAAACAAAATTCTATTTCTAGGAACATTATTTTTTCAATTGAATCATACTTGCTGAACATTCGGGACAAATCAAAGTTTGTTGTTCATCAAAAATACTAACACATTCACGATGAAAATAATATCGACATTTGCCTTGACATTGATGTGTATACGATGAAAGACCACATATACGACAAGCAGGATTATATGCTATTTCTTGTTCTTCACCATCACTTTCATACTAAACAAATTAATAACAAAAATAATTATTTTATTTTATGTTTATTATAAATTTACTTCTTCTTCGTCATCTTCATCATCATCATCATCCATTGGCAAACTATCTATAGGTGGTGTCTCATATTCCATAGATAAATTCACATCTGATGTTTGTATTTTCTATAAACAAAAAAATATATAATATTTTATACAAATAATAAAAATATTTTTATTATTATTTTTTTTTTTTACATTTCCATTTGTTAATTCATTTGTCGTAGCCATTGATATTGATGATTCGATAGACGTACGATGAATAGGCATCTGAAATATTGAATAAATAATTAATTTTTCAAGTTAGTTTAATTTAAAAATAATAAGAATAAATAATATTTATTTTATGACTCAAAATTCAAATGAGTAATCCATCTTTAACTTTTGTTGCTTCATCTTTGCCTTTTAAAAGTTCAATAAGTTTCAATGTAAAAACCATTGATGTAGCAGATCCTTTTTCTTCAAAACCTAAAAGTACAAAAAGAAAAAAAAACACGAAATTTCTCTCACTCTAGCTGATCTTGGCCACTGTTTATATTAGAGATCTGGAAGGTTGTGTATACGCTCTTCACTAATAACACAAGTCATTGGTATTGAAATGCCTTCATTGTTTATTTACAAAGGATTTTATGATGGATGGCACGTATTTTTTGTTGTAACACTTATAACCCTCTAAAGTATAAGAACTCTGTGTGAACTGATTTATTAGTAATTTCAATGAAACTCATCAATCATTCTAAAGACTATACTTATTGTTGCAGACAGAAATTATCTATTGCTCTTTGAAGGCAAATAGTTCAGTAATATTCCAATGAAATGAGTTCAAATTTTTTTTAGAAAGTTCTTCCACAGTTAGCCATTATTATTCGTAAGTCTCAGAAATAAATCTTGCATCAAAGAGAAATGAAACATAGATAATAATCTGGCTATTTCTGAGAATAGAAAGTCACAGATGGAACTTCAGGTACATGTAAAAATATCAAGAATTGGTTATATTTTGTGTAAGAAACAGGGCAAAAAATAGATGCCGTTTATCATAAATTACTTTGTAATTACACATACAGTGGTTGAGATCGGCTGGAGCGACTACTTTCATCCACTATTGTACCATAGTGAAGTGTAATATGCTTTTTACCATGCTTGCTATAACAAATGGCATGATCAGGTGCATCCAATTTGTATGGTTCACCATCAGTAGATTCTTTACGTACAGTTGGATAACATGTTATAGTATGTTTATGATCAATACGAATTTTATGTGTTAATAATACTCGTGGTCCAGCACAAATAGCAGCGACTATTTTACCATCTTGATAATGTTTTGTTAGAATTTGTCCAACTTCAGGACTTGCTGCCATTGCTTTTGATCCTAATATAATAAATAAGCTTATGTAATTTATTAAGTCATTTCTAATAATATATTCATAGACTATGGTACACAACGCAATCATATTCATTATTGATAATATCATTGATTGACTTATCTAGGTAAAATACGAATATTTCGACTACATTTTACAAATTCATGACCATTTTTTTTTCAATTGAAACAACATCAACTTCAATTTCAGCTCTGCATAGAACTAGAGAAAAGAAAAGTTATGATCAATATTATTAAAATTTAACAATCAAAATTATACAACACAAACCATCTATTATTGTTACTGCTTCAATTTCTTCACTACCATTAGCAATAAAAACATGCACTTTTTTTGTCATCTAGAAAAATAAATTATATTGCTAGATTTTTCTTCAAAGTTATAGATACCTTCAGTATATATAACTAGAAAACAGAACAATATTTATTTCATTTTTTTTAATGAAATATTTCTAGTCCTTGATTAGTTAATATTTTGACATTCACTATCAGCTATTTTCAATTCGTAATAATAAAATTGACTGATCAACCAACTTCAAGAAAATATTTATCAAAATTCAATTTATTATCTTTACGTACATTATAAACTTCTTCTAAATATTCAGAATAATCTGTAATAGTTACAATTTTATAATTCTGTAAAAAAAATTTGTGAACTTTTCAAGAACAAATAACAGTAACTACTTTTCCATTTGTATTATTTTGTAGATGTAAATTTTTAACTGTTAAAACTTTTCGCCATAAATATTTGAACTTTTATTAGCGTCAAGTACAATGATTGTATCTTGTGTATGTTTTAATGGATCATTATATCTTTCTTATATTAAACTCATTGTTATTTAAATATCTGTACGATGGTGAACCTTGAAAAAAGAAAATAATTAAATTTATTAAATTGAAATTTTTTTATATTGATATATTTACATAAAAAAATACTAACAAATTCATTTTCTTTACTTTCATTTGTTAACAAAATTTAAGCTTTTTTTCGATACGACCATGATTTTTTTGTCTTTCAAAGAAATAAAATTCAATTATATTATATACAAAGAGATAATAATAAGAAGAAGAATGAGTCATATATAGTCGACCAATCGTTAAAATTTAGCAGCGCCAGTTACATTTGTCTGTCAAAAATTTTTCTTTACTCATAATATAAAACAACAATTCAATTGATAGAATTTTAACTTATATATTGTTTTCTGATAAACATGCAAACAGTTTTCATTGAAGAAAATATTAATCATCAACAAATAATAAATGTCTGTCAATTAATTGATTCTAATACTTGTAAATCATTAGAATTTCGTCGATGTACAATCTCAGATTCGTAATAAAGTTTTTTTTTTTTTTTGTGTTTTTCAAATACTTATTTGTTTATTTTTACTACATTTTATTTATGTAGTGATTTTGATGAACTAATGAAAAGTTTAACCAAGAATGGTAAATCAATGATTTCGCTTATTTTTAATATTCAAATGATCAATGAAAATAAACGTTTTAAAAAATTTATTCAAATGCTATCAAATTGTTCAAATCTTATTAATTTACGGTAATATTAAAAGAAATTTTTTATAATAGAAAAAAAAAAAGAATTAGATTGTCTGAATAGAGTTCATGGTAATGATATAAATGATGATATGTTTTCTCAACTTTATTCAATTTTACATGAAGATTGTCCAAAATTAACTTCATTAGATATTGGTGATAATAAGTTAACAAATAAATCGATTCCTAATATATGTTCATTAATTATTCCTGATAAAAATAAAACAGGTTTTCAAATTTTAATAACAACAAAACAACAAGAAATTCTTATCATTCTATTTCTTATTTAGGTTTAGAAGAATTAATTTTAAGTGCTAATCGTTTGATTACAAATGCTGGTTGGACAGAACTTCTCTATTCACTTGCTTTTAGTTCTCGAATTCGTCGATTAGCATTAGATTATAATATGTTCGATAATACAATTGCAGCAATGTTTAGTATGCTTATTGCATCCAGGTAGTTTTTTGAAAATTTATATTTAAATATAATTTTTACTTTTTATTTCCATTAGTCGAACATTAACTTATCTAGATTTAGAATGTTGTAATTTAACAGAATTTGCTGGACAACTATTACTTTCTTTATTTACAAAATATCCAATACAACTCGAAGAAATTTATCTTGAGAAAAATCCATCTATTCTTGATTCAACTCGTACATTAATAAATGAATGTCTTAGTTTTAAATCAAGACAAAATTCTATTTCAAGTCAACAACCATTATCTTATCATTTACCGATTAATGATGATTCAACAAGTATAAATAGTACAATAAGTGAAAAAGTTCCACCATTAAGATTAAAAAAGAAAAAGAAAAAATCTAATTTACATGAATCTTCAAAAACTTTTATTAAAGAAGAAACAAAACCTTTTAATTTTAATCCAATAAAACAACCAGACAAATCAATTGAAACCAAAATAAAGAAAGAACAAGAAGATATCGAAGAACTTTTACCAGTTGACATTCAACCATATGGTACTGTAGGACGTATGCTTTATTGGCATCGAATATAAATATTACTTTATTCAGATAATTGCTTTGCTTTTGTACTTACAATTAACATCCGTCCATCACTTTTTTTCTTTTTAGTTGCATGTGTTTGTCAAATATTAATTCTAATAAAATAAATTTAGTAAAAAAAAAATATATATATATTATAATTTTTATCAAATCAAAGTAATAAAAGCTTTCTAGAACTTTCTCACATAGATGACTAGAAAAGATGAATTGAGTATCGTTTGTTAGAATAACAAGCTCTTTTCAGCAATAGCAAAAAAAACCTCGATGAATAAGATCTAAATATTTAATATACTCTACAAACTTGTCACAAAATTCATATTGATTTAATTTAAATTTTCATGAAATTTGAATTATGTTCATGTCTATTTTTTCATTGATGTCTCATAGATGATCTTATTATTTTTTGTTTTTTTATTAAATCATTTTTAGTTTATCTTTTGCATCAAAATTTTACTTAGAAATTTTATATATATTAATAATAAAATCTGTAATATAAAATATATACAGAGTATTATTTTTAATAGTTTTCAATTGTCAACATACCATTCTTTAAATAAATCTATATGTATAAAAATTTTATATTCTTACGTTATAACTGTAAATGAATTTCATTCTAATTGTTTGAAAAACTTATTCGAGTAAGACTTTATTATAGATGTATGTGAAGATCATGAAATTTGTACATAATAATTCTTCAAAATAATATTCAGTTATAAAAAGAAAAAGTTAAAAATACCTTTAGATCAATAAATATAACGTACAATTCACCTGTTAAATATAACGTAATTGAATAATAATTCAATTGCTTACCGTACCATATCATTATGTTAATAAAAACTATCAATAGAATCTTTTTTTTTTACATTTCATTATCTGATAAAACATTCAAGGTTTATTTTTACTATTCTTGACCTTGACGTACGACAAATATAAACAGAAAAAAAGAACGTTCGAACCAAATAACATGAAGAATTCATAATAATGATGTCATTGACCTCTGTTTTACACCAAACGATAACAATATGATTCATATATTAAACATATCAGTTGGTATCATCTTTATACTCAATAAAATACATTATCTTTTTATTTTTTAGTTTTTTATTGAAACTAAATTAATTCAACTGCGTAATTCATCGTACTGACACACATTGTTAATACAGAAAAAAAAAAGAAAATTTTTGATATAGTTCAAGAAAATATTGATATAAAAATATTCATTACTCTCTTTTTTTTTTTTGGAATATCAATTTATATTGTTTTACTTTTATCTTTGTCTGTTCGTAAAAATATGATTAAGTAAGTTTTCTTTCTTCGTCCTTCTCTTGAAGTTGATCACGTGTCTTATTATTCTACAATTTAACGTGACCGCACTATTTATACTCTTTTACTTCATATTGAAGGATATATGCATTCAACAAAAAAAAAAAAAAAGAAACAAAATATTTTGTTTGTTATTTCTTTGGTTAAAATTTTATTTATTTATATATAAGTAAATATGCTTGAATATAAAAACAAAAGAAAAAAAAAACCTTGCAATAAACAAACAGAATTACATGTGTATATATATCTGAGGAATAAGTATTATAAATTCTACAGAATATAATTATAAAGCTTCTTTGTGTGCTTTAGCTTTAGCTTCGTGAGATTTTTCTTCAATTTTATCACCCACTGCTGAAAAACCAGCTCCAACACGTTCACCAACGGTATTATCCGAATCTTTTACTTTTTCTTTATTAGCTTCATATGATGCACCACTGGTTACTTCTACAATGCAAAAATAAAACGAAAAAAAATATATTTAATAGAAATAAAAATATATACAAACCAGAAACTTTCTCAGCAACATAATTATAAGCATGTGAGATAGTATCACCAATTTGACCAATGACACCTTTCTCTTGAGCAGCTTCTTTGTGTACTTCTTTATTTGCTTCATGACCCTTTTCATCGACTAGATTAAATTTTATATTAAATTTTTTGTTTATTTTAAATAAGTGTATAAATACTTTTGTCTTTAACTGCATCAACACCATGACTTATTCGGCTACCTGCTGATAAATTATCATTTTTAGCTGCTTCTTTATTTGCTTGATATGAAGCACCACTTGATACTTCTAAAAAAGGAAATTGTTCATATATATATATATATATCAATAAATATAGAAATATATTTTTTCTTACCTTTTACTTTTTCTGAAACAGCATGACCAGCTTCTTTAATGTTTTCCATGATTATTGCTTTTGTTTAATGTTTGTAAGAAATGAAAATGATGAGAGTTGCTTTAGTTTGTAGAATGAAGAATGTTGTGCTGTTGCCCATCTATATATACTCTCTCTCGAATCTCTTTTTCTCTCTCTATGATAAAAAAGAAGGAACGAGAAAAAAAAAAGATTACACATTCAACTGAATAATAATGAATAGTGCATTAAGTTCATTCACAAGAGGACACGTGCAGAGTATATATGGTATAAAGGCATTTTCTTCGTTTGCTGACGTAGAATAAATAAGAAGGACGAAAGAAAAAAAAAAAAACCTACGCCAATCATTAGCTAGCTTTGATAGAATCGTATGAATGAAGTGGTTATGTAACAGCAGTTACATGATATTTGGTCTATTAATGAAAAAGATTCCAAGTAATTTTTATAATATAATATTTCGTCTTTCATTGCATGTCTGATGTAAGTTTATTGGATATTAAAAAAATACGAAAAAAATTTTTTACAGAAAATTAACATTTGATAAAATCATAATCGAATATGTCTTCTTTTTTTTTGAGAAGTTAGCATTCTAACATGAAAACTCATGATATTGCAGTCATTCAAGAAAATAAATGATGTTATTAATCTCAGTGTTAAATAACATGTTTGAATAAAGCGTTTTTATCTTGATAAAAAACAAAAAAAATATCAATTATTTGAATTCATTTTTTCGTTTTCTTGAAATCAAAACAAAAGTTTGCTTGTCTATTTGATTTTTATTGTTAAGTAGTTTCTTATTGCTAGAAAAAATAACAATCTTTATTTTTAAAGAGAAGAAATAAAATCAACATAGAATATTGACAACTAAATAAAAGATAAAATAAATAATTGAAACAACCTCTTCGATAGCTGAACATTTTCTAACAAGTCTTGTAATATTTTTCTTTATTATTTCAACATACTCAAATAATACTTTGTTTTTAACAGATACAATTTCTTTTGATTCTGTCACTATAGTTAAGAGATATTTTTGTTGTATGACTCATCGTTATCTATCTGTAAATAGTGAAGAGAAGACTCATACATACTCACATCTACGCACAATCACACTCAGCTCTAATCACAATTAAGAGTAATTCATTAGTAATATGCTGTTTTCTTTTTTACTGTTCCATCTTCTATAAAATGTAACAGATAGATTACAGGAACATATTAAAATGAAGTTTTTTATTTTCATATCAACAATATCTAAAGTTAATTATTTGTAGTCTTAATAAAAAGTGTTTTCGTCTATTCATAGTGAACGAATGTCGTTTTCGAATTTTCTTGTACTAGATGTCAATAACAAAAAAACAGCTTTTTTAGAAGTGGGTATTCATTCACATAGATTTATACGAAAATATAACATACGATGGTAGAGACGAACCTATCAATAGAAAAAATACTGAAAGTAAATTCTTGCTTGATTGAATTTGCATCAGTTAGCTCTATGTTTTTTAATATCTATAAATATTGATGACAAAATGATCTGGATAGATATATTATTATCGCATTTATTTTATTTTGAAGCTACAATA